GGATATATGAAATAAATTGCTGTTCCTGGTTTTGTTATATCGCCAGAAATACCAGCTCTTCAGTGCCTCCCTTCACTGCCCATGGCATAAAAGCAGTGAGAAGCCACGAACTAGGCAGACAGAAGGCACAGAATGGTGGAGTGAGCACAGTGGTGCAGAGACTTTAAAATCAAGAGTAATCCCAGCCTGGCTTTGCACGTATTCCCAACTAAAGCACTGGTCTTCAGTCTTATGCATGTCATTATTTTTCACTTGAGAAGAAATCCCATTAGCTTTACCAGTCCAGACCAGGTTTATAAATAATACTATTTAGCCCTAGATCAGTCTTGGTTTAGCTAGTCAGTATCCCACAGCTAGGCCTGAGGTTGGTATTGTTTTATGCCAATGAAATGATTCCCAAAACAAGATATACATATATAATTATTTTTATGACCATATTACACATTTCCAGCCAGAATAATATACCTGGCTGAACAACGCAACATGGGCTCATTTGAGTAGCCCAGTTCACATTTAATTTCCAGACAGAACCAGACAGAATGAAGGAGCTGCAGCTTTCCCTAGGGAAGTGCGCTCTGGTCTCAGTGGGAGTGTTTGCCCTGAGAACAGAGAGTAGGAGTAGATACAAGGCTTTTGCCCTATGATGGCAAAATCTTGGTATGGCTTTGCTTAACAGGGTGAGTAGTGCGTGGATGGAGAGTATGAACTCAGAGGACACTAAATAACAGTTTCTTGTCAAGTGACAAGGAGTGCCAAAAGAGGCAACTGCTTTAATCGGGTCTTGATACAGGAGTCATTCTGTTACCGCAAGGAGTAAGGTTTTATCCTTACATAAGTGTTTTCTATTTTGCTGTGGATGCCCAGAGAAAAGACATAGTGCCCCTGTAATATTTGCTAGCATTACTGTGGGAATTTCATACTGATCACAAACCTTGAAGCCACAAGAAAGTTAAGTTAGAAAGTCATCTTCAGCAAAGCCTTTGATAGCTCATTGGTATGCACTTCAATTGGTATTTCAGATTAATTCCTTTGCATATTTTCTATAGTTAACAGAAAAAGCGTTGGCAGTGGTTTCTCGTAGCTCCCCACCTTTAAAATGGGTTGCCTTAGTTACCACGGCCAGCTTGAGAGACAGCAAATTTAGTACTAATACATTTTCAAAGCTTTACAGTTTCTGTAAAATCCCTGTGTCATAATCAGCTACAACATATGCTTTTACCAGTGTTAATAAGCTACACTGGTGATATCTGTAAATCAGAAGTGAAGACTGCCACAGGCCAGAACAATAGCCGTGGGTCATTACCTTGGTGACTGTCCTGTGTATATTAGGAGAAACAGGTTGTGAATTTTCCTGTAACTGAAAACAAGATTGGCTTCAAGTGGCTCAGGTATCTGGTGCTTGAAAGCAGTCTGCTGCCATCAAGATCATACTTTCTCCTGTAGGAAACTGTTAGGTCTTAAGTTGTCCTCTTGGTTGGGGATTCAGTATTTCCTCTGACATTTACAAAAATTGCAGGAAACGATTATTCTTGAAAGGGTCACTACTATCCATCATAAACAGAGGTCTCAAAGGCTAGTAGAATCATAGAATAGTTAGTGTTGGAAAGGACCTTAAGTTCCAACCCCCCCGCCATAGGCAGGGACACCTCACACTAAAACATCTCACCCAAGGCTTCATCCAAACTGGCCTTGAACACTGCCAGGGACGGAGCATTCACAGCTTCCCTGGGCAACCCATTCCAGTGCCTCACCACCCTTACAGTAAAGAACTTCTTCCTTATATCCAATCTAAACTTCCCCTGTTTAAGTTTGAACCCATTACCCCTTGTCCTATCACTACAGTCCCTAATGAAGAGTCCCTCCCCAGCATCCCTATAGGCCCCCTTCAGATACTGGAAGGCTGCTATGAGGTCTCCACTCAGCCTTCTCTTCTCCAGGCTGAACAGCCCCAACTTTCTCAGCCGATCTTCATATGGGAGGTGCTCCAGTCCCCTGATCATCCTCGTGGCCCTCCTCTGGACTTGTTCCAACAGATCCATGTCCTTTTTATGTTGAGGACACCAGAACTGCACACAATACTCCAAGTGAGGTCTCACAAGAGCAGAGTAGAGGGGCAGGATCACCTCCTTCGACCTGCTGGTCACGCTCCTTTTGATGCAGCCCAGGATATGGTTGGCTTTCTGGGCTGCGAGCGCACACTGAAGCTGGCTCATGTTCATTTTCTCATTGACCAACACCCCCAAGTCCTTCTCCGCAGGGCTGCTCTGAATCTCTTCTCTGCCCAGCCTGTAGCTATGTCTGGGACTGCTCTGACCCAGGTGTAGGACCTTGCACTTGGCATGGTTAAACTTCATAAGGTTGGCATCAGACACGTTATCGTTGGAACAATATTTGGTTTGAGAGCAGCTCTCTGTGTTACCTGTTGAGATAAAAGTAATTTTTCACCTCTACTCCTCTTTTTCTTTTGTTTAACTTTAAATTTTTTAAGTAGTATGAGGCAAAGTGTGAAGAATTGCTATGCTATTTGTGTAATTGTTTAAAGTTCCTAAAACCTCTTTAGCTCTAGAACAGAACTGTCTTTTCATAAGGTGAAAGGTTGGTAGCAAAGGAACAAGCAGTGCTCAAGAGAGTGTGGCTGTTTCTGAGCTTGGGGTCCTGGGGGACTGTGTAGGATGAGACAGAGAGTTCTGCTTTCATGGAACCATCTTCTTCACGAAACAGCAGCTGTGGGCTGTGCCCTGTTCATTTGTTCAGAGGCAGGCCTCTTATCCTTTCATCTGAACTTAGGGGTTTGTGATCAGCTAAGTGAAGAATAAGAAAAAAAGAAACAAACAAAAAAATAATCAGTTTATGAAATTATCCAGTACATATTTCACTGCAGCCGCTCTGTTTTCCGCTCTTTATAGTCTGCCACCTGTTGGTGTATTATGAAATGCATAGCTCTCCGAGTCCGAGCTATCTCAAACTCTTTTAAGAGTAGTAATTTGAAGGAGGAAAACACTGGATCACCTTTTATTATAGTTTCTCCTGGTAGCAAAAGTAACCTTTTAAGCTCCAAATCACTAAAAAAGCCTCCCTTTTTTTCAGAAGCTTCTGGTTTTCGGACAGGTCAGACTGGGGCTGAGGTTATCCATGTGAAGTTTCAGCCCCTGGCTGAGATGTCACACTGAAGATGTTTTACAAAGCTTTAAATGGCAGTGAGGAAAAACAAACAACAAGTCAGCCTCAGCCTCAGTCTTTCACAGTTAGAACAAAACCATGTGTGGTTTTGGCTATGAACAAATCTCCTGAGGTGTATAATCGTGCAAAATAACTATTACATGGGGGTTTTATGCATGACATCAAGAAGGCAGCTACTCTAGTCCTTAGATCCACCAGCTTCTGGTCTTTCTTTACAGCTTTACAAACAGAAATGCCCTTTGGGGCCAGCCTGTCAGTACACTTGCTCTCAGTGGTTATAGGAGTTGCTGTTTAGGGAGGAGGCCCTGTCCCTCCTGCAGTCCTTTCCCCCAGCCTCCCCCAGCACCCACAGCTGGTGTATCTGTGATGTTAGGGAGGACATGTATGGGCCTTGTTGTTTGGGAATGTATCCAATCCCATTTTGGACCTGTCTGCTTGCAGCCTCCTCCAAGTTCTACAGGTTTACTGACCACTGTGTAAAGATGCACTTTCTTCATTGTGTTTTATAATGACTTGCCTTTGCAACACCCACAGGAAGAACAGCATACTCACCCTCATTTAACAGAAGGGAAAGATTTGGGGGATTGTTTCCAAAAATGCCTGTTAATAGTAGATCTCTCATGCATGAGTTTGTCTAATGCAAGGTATTTAAGGCTTGGTTTTTTCAGATGCCTGAACTAATTTCTATTCCTGATAAGTCATGCGAAACGATTGACATACAAATGAGGATCACTTGTGGTGGTGTTTGATTTATTGACTGACCCATAATTAAGTATCAATTCCATGGCAAAATGGAGGCCAAACCTAGTTCTCCCAGTCCTGGTCAGCTTCCTTTCTTTTTGCTTTGGAGGCTTGTGTCTGGCTCATCGTTTGTTATCTTGTGCATCCAATATCAAAGAGGGGCCACAATCAAAACATCATTCACTGATGTTCCAGACTTATCCACTGAACAAAGAGTGGCGTTTGACTGATCCAGGGACAGCTGCAGTAGAAAGCACAGAAACACAGTGTCGAACCATACAATTACAGCCTCTCTTTTAAGGTCTGTACAGAAAGTTTTAGAATTAATATTGCTGGGAGTAAAAGCATTTCAAAAAGTGTCTCATGGTGCCCAAATAATGCTTCATTCCCTAATTCATAATTCTCAGTATTTTAAAATACACCCCCCCTCCCCCCCCCCCCAATGTCCCCATCGAAATCAAAAGAGGAGAGAAAAATACTCTTATTCTTCCAAGCAGCAAAGGCGGGTGGGTTGCTCTGGGCTGCATGGCTATTCAGAACCAAAGGCTGTTTATGCCTCATAACCTTCTATACTAAGCATCAAGCAGGATTTGGTTACGTCTTCTGAAAGAACTGGACCATAGCAACGTGTGAAGCAATCCAGGCCCCTCTAGGGTCAGTCCGTTCAGTGGGGGGTGACCCCACATCTTGCAGCAGAGCTGTCCCTAGCAGGTGGGAGAGACGCGTCTCCAGCAGCAGCCCATCAGCTGGTCCATGCCTTGCCGTGCCTGTGATGGGTTTCCCCACTCTCACCCCTTTCCCTGTTGGATGCTGTGACCTCCCTCCCACCAGCAGGCTGCTGCCTAAGAGCGGTGCCGCTAGCGCCCCGCGGCACCCGCCTGCCCCTTGTGTGCGTGCCCCTGCCGCACGCTCGCTGGGGGGCGCCATAGCGCGGCTTGCCCCTCAGGTGCTTCGCGCGCGCTCGCTGGGGGGCGCCATAGCTCACGGGGCGGGGCGGGGCGGGCCCTTGGCGCTGGCTGCCGGGCCGGGCGGGTGCCCCGGTGGCGGGGTCGCGCCTCCCCGCCGGGCTGTGGCAGCGGCCGCCCGGGGACGGCGCACTCGTAGGGGCGACCCCACGGAGCTGGGGGCTCCGTGCTCGCACCATGCGTCCCGCCGCTGCTTCCCGCCCCGCTGGCCGGCGGTCGGGCTCCCTGCCGCGGCTGCTGCTCTCGTCTGCCGCACGGACGCTGCTGTGGCTCGGTCCCGTCTACCTGGCGGGGTACCTGGGGCTGAGCGGCAGCTGGGTGTTGCTGGGGCTGGCGCTGTGGCTCTGCTGGGGACACAACCGGCGGTGGAAGCGCGACCGGCTGGCTGCCGCCTTCGCGCTGCTGGAGGATGAGCAGGAGGCGGTGTGCCGGGGCTTGGCCGCCAGGCACCTGCCCGCCTGGGTGAGTGGGGACCCAAGCGGCGGGAGCCCCGGCAGCGGGCGCGCTGCGAGGTGTGCGGCTCCGGGCTGCGCAGCTGGGGAGCGCTCGGCGGGGCAGCCGTAGCAGTGTGGGGAGCGGGGCGCTCCGTAGCGAGCAGCCGAAGGGCAAAGAACAGAGGTAGCAGCGATGCCTTGGACCGAGCGGTAACGTCTTTGATTTTGAGGTCTTGATCGGTAAAGCGAATGCTAAACTGGAAGCTGTTTTAGTCGAGGAGATGAGCATGTTGCTGTAACCATGCTTGTGGAAGACTCTGCTGTATCTCTGGAGAAATCTTGTTTCAAGTATCTGCTGTTGCATTGCAGGTATTTTGGTGTAGATGTTACTTACTTTAGACCTTCTCATCCAGAAGGTTTTTTCCCCTTCTTTCTAGTGTCATTGGAAGAAGATAAAAATCAATAAACATAGTATTTTCTGCCTCCAGAAACGATATTTAGAGCCATCTATTGATGGTATGGAGAGTCAACCCCTGTTTGGTTCTTCATGTATTTTGCTAGCTACTGTAGGTTTTAAAGTGAAGAAACTCAAACAACCAGCTGCAGGTTTTATTCTACGGCTTTGGTTATTTGTTGTGTAGCCTTGGTTTGATAATGGAAAAGGATGACGGCTGTTTTTTTCCTCCTTCATAGTCATTTGCATAGCATTTAAAACATGTCAGGGACTGGTAGGAAAGTGCCTTTCTTGTAAGAAAGAATATCAAAGAGTTCTATTTGTAAGGAGTGTTGCATGGAGACATTTATAGTCAGCAAACTGTTTTATATAGCCTACAGCACTTGGCTTTTCTTAATAGTGTGGGAAACGAAAGCAGTTGGCACTTCTGAGAAGTGAGGCCAGGGTCTCCTAGCAGAGCTGGTGCAGCTCCATGCACATGTTCCTTCCCGCTGGGCACAGAAGCCTATGTCTGAATGAAGTTTCTGCTTGTTTGTATTGACAGAGCATTTAACACAACCCTAAGCGTTAATGAGTGTGCTGGTGTCAGTTCTTGCCCTGATCCTGTAAGAACAGTGTTGTATTTTATCCTCAAGTGCCCTGAATCCTACTAATGAGAACCTGAGTTTCTTAGTCAGTGTTGAAAAATCAGCATCACCCCCCACAACACTCTTTCTCTCTCTCTCCCTCCAGAGTTCTTGGGTTTTGTGGCTGAAAGTGTCAGGCTTTACTAGTGTGTGGGCAGGTGGTCGATGGAAAGGATCATTGACTCAGCATTCAGGAGGCAGCACCACCAGCACTGTGTCTTCCAGGAAGGGTTTTGACAAATGGAGACTCCAGCGGAGCCAGTTCTGCTGATCAGGGTCTGGAGCACATGAAATGTGAATAGGGCCTGACAGAGCTCGGGTTGTTCAGCACCCTTCAGGAGAAGGGAAGGCTTAAGGGGGATCTCAATGCTGTCTCCAGCTGCCTAGCACATACCTGTAGAGACAGTGTGGTCAGACTGTCTCCAGAGGCCTCACTCCTGACTTGTGAATCCTTGAAGTTGGCTGCTGGAAGGCAGGATATAGGATCTAGGGATAAAGGGGCTGCAACTGTGTGCTTTTAGTCTTAGCATTTATCCATGTTGCCACTTCTCCTTTTCTATGGTGGTAACTTTTATTCTCCATCAGTGGTGTTTGCTGCCACACCACATTTGTGCTTGATATTTTTATAAACTCCTCAGTTTTAGATTTTTCTTCTATGCCCTTATTTGATTTGATCATCTGCTTCTACCCTGTGCCTGTCTCGGGGACTGATTCTTACCTCCTGTGTGTTCAGTTTATTCTCTGTGGTGTCATCTTTTTTTACCTTTAATTTTTGCCTTTCAGTGTTCATGAACCTTCAATTGAAACAGCTCTAAAAATGTCCCTTGTGTTCTTCTCTCCTGACATGCAGAGGTGGGAGTAGGAATGCAATTCAGGCTCAGGGAAGCAAGCGCTGGATGTGCAGTGTTGTAATCCTAGAGAAGGTTCTGGAATTGTGAAACAATGGCAGTGTCTTAGGGGACTGGTAAATAGTTGTCTGCTGGTGTGCCCTGTGGTAAAATGAGGAAGGTCCATTCAGTGAAGAGCTAAGACCAATCACTGATTGCACTGCTTGGTTAAAAACCGTTCTCCCTTAGAGCAGTGCAGTGAGCGGCTCCTTCAGATGTGACTCGGGCTCTACTCTGTCCTGGTATCGGCTGTTAGGAAATGCATTCACATTGCAGCCTTTCCTTCAGAGGGGGCGCGGGGAGGGTTTCCCTCATCTACTCAACCATCTGTTTCAGGGAGCTTGCACGGTTCTTTTGCAGCACCGGTTTCTTGGCTGAAACCAGCCAGTGAGTTTGGAATAGAGGCATTCCTGTGCTAGACATCTTACGTGGGCAGACTGTGCTTCCCCAGGAGACCAGGCTGAAAAATTGCTCATGTTGAGCAGAGCCAGGTCTGTGTCTTGGAGAGGTGACTTCAGCCTGTGCCGCCTTTAGCAGGACTTCAGTAAAACCAGTCAGTGCCTGGCACAGAGGTAGCTGGGCTTCCACCTTCGTTCTGGCTCCTTCATTCTGGTGGCGGTGATTTCTCCGTGTTGCTCTTGCAGCTTTTAGCAGGTTGCCGGTGAGAATGTCTGAGCATGCTGGATTCCTTCCCGATGTTAAACTCCTTTTACCAGGATGAATTGATATTACTGGACACAGAGCAGTCCTTTAAAAACTTTGCCAGTTAATTCCTCCTTTGACCAAAAGGTTTGTTTAGACTTTTTCTTTTTTTGCCCCTGCGCAGGGAGCTAAAAACCCGGTATGTGTGTCCCCAAAAAAACCCAACCAACCCAAAACCCAAACAAAACAACAACAAAATCCCAAACAAAACCCCAAGCAAACACATACACACACCCCATGGATAGATTCCTGTGCTGAAGAGAATGGCACTGTTGTGTCAGACATGGGTTTTGCTGTTGCTATAATCTTGGCGTGCCCTGCTTCAGGGTAAGGTGGAGCCATGCAGAAACTTACACATTTTCTTTACCTGATGGTAATTGGCCCTTACCTGGTGGTTTTGATCTTCAAAGCTCTTTTCAAATGCTAAGTAATTTTTGCATCATTCCAAAAATATTGGCAAGAAGAAGGCTTGCTTTTGTAAGTGGGGAAAACTGATTTTGATAGTGTGACTTGCCCAAGGCTTCAGGATTAAGTCTTCTTCTGGGATAGTGTTAACTTAGGCAGCTCTTTGTGGCTGGTTCTGGGCTTAATAGGAAGTGTTTTGAGCTTCTCTTACCTGTGCTGTACTGATGATAAACTTGAGGACAAGACCTTGCTGCTAGGGCTCTCACCAGTAACAAGGGTCTGAAGTGAGTCTGAAGTCCAGAGCATGTGGTTAAAATACAGAACTGTAGATGCTTTGTTTCTTGTTTTTGTTTGTTTGCTTGTTTGGTTTGGTTTGGTTTGGTTTGGTTTGGTTTGGTTTGGTTTGGTTTGGTTTGTTGGGGGGGGGGATCCTAAAACATATGAGGATACGGTAAGTTCCTGAAGTAAACTGTTGGGATAAGAACAGAGCTTGGTAGTGTCACTGAGCCAAACTAGAGCAGAACTCTCATTCTACTAGTGGGACATGCATGTAATAAGAATACCCTGTGGGTGAGAAAGGCTTTGCTCAGAGCTTATGTCTTATTAGACAGTGTAACACTTGGATGTAACACTTGGATACCAAGCTCTGCTTCTTCTGCAGAGCTGCTCAGCTGACCTTTGGTATTGGGATCCCATCGACACATGGTGGTGTTTCATAATAGGCAGAAAGCTGGTTTTCACCAGAAACATGTAGTTGGCTGATTTGTGGTGTTTGCCTCTGTGAGAGCCCTGTTGTGTTAGCCAAGGAGCTTCTGGTGGTCTTTGGTACCATAGAGCTACAGCAATGCTATTCCTTCCATCTGTCAAAGGAAACTGAGGCATAGGGTGCCTGGGTAGGAGCTGTGTTGCAAACACATGCATGAGGCAGTGTCAGGTGGGATGGAAGTGTACCACAAATTGCTACTAATCCTATCACAGCAATCTGAGGTGTGACACTGGGATATGTGATTCATTGTGGTTGCTTTTGGAGTTTGCCGTGGGCTGTCTGGTTTGACCAGTGTCTGTGGCCCAAATAGTGAATTCAGTTTTGCTTTTTTTCAAGGTGGATCTAGCTGCTGCCTCCTTCTCACAGTTTTTGCCTGTTTCCTGATGCTTCTGAGTGCAATTCCAGGTCTCTTAAGCCACCTGCTTGCTTCTCGATTGCCTCTTGCAGTTGCATCTCTAGCAGCGTTGGCTTTAGTGAATAATCCCAGCCATCTTTTGTGGTTTATGTTGTGCTACATTTCTCCCCTTAACATCAGTGGATCTCACATGTGGGCTGTGACTTTCTCACTGGGATGTGGTGAGAAAGTCATAGTTTAACTGTTGCCCTGAGTCCTGATCTGTTCTTCCTTTTGGGTCACATCTCTCTCCTTGCTGCAAGGTCTTTTGAAGGACAGCTTGCCATGCAACTTCCGTAACTTCTCTACCCTGCCTGTGACTGATCCAGAGCTGTGGAATAAAATACTGTGGAACACTGGCACTTGGCAGTTATTCAGGAGCTGGGGACCAGCTGCCTTCAGGCTACCCAGGATTTGTGTGTCCTGGCAGAGGACTGTTTGGTGAATGATGAAAGGCTGGCAGGTGAAGTGGAGATCCCCAGTTTGCATAACATGCCTTACTGTAAAATGTCAGTAGTGTTTTTTCAGTATTGAACCCTCCTGGTGCTGTATTCTCACTTTATCATGCAAACATTTCAGTGGACTTGTGTTGTCTTATTTAATGGAAAAGTTGCTATTTAGAGCATCAAAATAAATTGCTTGTAAAGCATATGGTAATATTTTTTAAATGCAACAATTGAAGATAATTTGAAGCATTATTTGAGCAGGGGAAATTGGTTCTGAAATCGTACATGAAACTGGAATAAAAGGCAAGCTACTGTCCATTCCACCTGAACATCTCTGAGCACCTGTCTGAAAGCTGATGAGCTAAACAGCAAGCCTTTGACTGAAGAGTGTAATTCACAGTTTTTGTACAAGGCAGTAATGTGTTGTCCTACCCAATGACTATTATCAAGCTAGATGATAGTTGAAGGAGTCCCTTTGTATTTGGGTGCTCCTGTGGAGCTGAGCAGAGGTTAAATGTCCCCTGCTGCACTGTCCTTCCCTTCTGCAATAACCTGGTACCAGCTCGTAGCGCTGGCTGAAAATACCACATCCATAAGACTTTAAAGTGTGATCGTAGTAAAGTGATTGTGGCTCTTCACTCAGCAGCTTCTTGATGAGGTCTGAGAGACCAGTTAGTTACTTGTGAGTGGCCTCATATCTGACTGTCCTGATGGTGATTAAACAAGTCATCACTTCAGGGAACTTGGAGGATTTTGTAATGGGCACATATGCTTCCTGTTGGCATTCAGCGCATCCCACTTGAAAACGTGATGCATAAGTGACTACTTCATTTTAATCTGTCCTTAGCCTCTTAAAAAGCTCTGAGATGTGAAAACACTGGAGTGTTTCACATGATAGTGTATGTTAATAGGCTTGAACTCTTACAGTGCTTCTTTTGCCTGAAGCCATTGGCACTATGTTAATATTGGTGGGGAAATGCTGCCACAACCGATAAACTGAGTTCCCCAAGCAGACTCTTATTTTCCAAAGCACAGTGTCCTGGTTGAGGTGAGCCAGTACAGGAAACAGGACCCACACAGCTCATGATCTTGAAGGGAAGCAGGTTCTTATGGCTTCCCAAGACATGACCAAGAGAAGGATGAGAAATCTAATGATGCTGTACACGATGAACAGGATATGATACTTGCTTTAATTATATAAATGTGCCCAGAGGCATGCTGGTGTATTAGTGCACGTGTGTTCTTTTGCCTTTTACTGTTTTTTGAGGTAGTAAATTATGAAGGATGTATGTATGAGGGCATAGGGATCTCGACTTACTCTGAAGCTTGTTCATGCTCTGTGGTATGTTTTGCATGTGTTGGAGTATGCAGAAACAGATAGCATGTGGCATTCACTGTTTTGTTTTGCTTTTTTCTTTGCATCTAGGTCCACTTCCCTGATGTTGAACGAGTGGAGTGGCTGAACAAGGTGAGGAGCCTTCTGCTCTGAGCTGCACCATAGCACAAACTGTGGGCCAGGTCTGAGAAAGTTATCAAGTCACTACAGTACAGCTCAGTCATATAAGTGACTGTACTTAAGTCTTGGAGCCAACTCTAGTGTAGAGTTGCCACTGAGGTTTTGGTGAGAGCCAAATGTGTGCCTGGTTGGTGATACGGGTTTGATGAATTTGACCACACTTCATTCTCAGATTAAAAAAATAAAAGCAAGAGTGTGTGTGTTTGTGTGTATACCTGTCTGTATGCATATGTGCGGCACTATTATTATTTTGGCAAAAAACAGCTGCATTTCCTCTTACCAGAGAGGTCCCCAGTGAGGTCTGAGGCAGGTGCTCCTATAAGCAGATTTAGTCAGGCTCTGACTGGAACTGGACTCTGGAATTCAAAGCAAAACGGTCGAACTTGCACATTAGCACCCAGTAACTATCCTGGTTTTCCTTTTAGCAAACTCCCCTCTTCATGAAAAGCTCATTTCAGCTCCTTTTTAAATAAACCTGACCCCAGGGAACTTTGTGACACTTTAGAGCAATTATGAACTATTGTGCTTTAGCAACTTTAACCCTGGGCTTTGCTGGCTCAGCCCCTGAGTTTAAAAGCAGTTAACAGACTATAGTCTATGTAATAGCCTATAGGGCTGAAAACTCACCCTTCAGTTCCTAAAAAAAATTCCTTTGCTCAGGAGTTGAGATGGATCCTTCCATAAAGATGACTTAACTGCACAAATGTGACTTGGTAAAAGGACAGACGTTAATAGGCAGGTGTTCTGTAATGTTTGTGTCTGTTTCTCAACAAAAGATATCTTATACAAAGAATTCTCAGAGTGTTTCCCCTTTTGCCGTTCTTTAGGTCCTTGTACAGGCTTGGCCGTACTTTGGGACAATCCTGGAAAAAACATTTAAAGAAATTGTTGAACCAAAAATCAGAGCAAAGCATGTACACCTGAAAACATGCACCTTTACCAAGATCCACTTTGGCGAGAAGGTACTGTAAATCCTTTGCAACATTTGCAGGTCAGTCTTTTCTGAAAAGCTCTGGTGCAAGGGGAGTCTGATGTTCAGCTCTTTAATAGCTCTGAATGTTTAATAAAATGGTATTGGTACAGCACTGCTGCCTCCTTTGTTCCCTTCTCGTGTTGACTTGAGCATCTTCACCATGAAGGAAGAAATGTACAGGAAACACACACATTCCTTCCCACCAGCTGTCAGTATCATGGGATTGGAGATGGAAAAAGGGGCATGTATCCACATTTAATTTTGTAATACCCTTGTGACAGGAGTTTTCAGTGTTTCCTAAAGCTTGCAGCTTGGAGTGCTTGCAGCCAGCCTTGGATTTGAGAACAGCAGAATCTGCTCAGACCGCCTCTTTAAGGGAAAAACTAGTATAGTTTACTTGAACTTCACATGCAGTTGCGCAAAGTCTTTAATGAATGCTTCTGTAATCAAACTGATTGAAGTTAGTAGGACTTTTCACTTAGGCTTAACTTCAAAGATATTAACTATGTCATATCTTGTTTGTCTTTATTTCAGTGTCCTAGAATCAATGGAATAAAAGCCTACACCAAAGAAATTGACAGAAGACAAGTTACCCTAGACCTGCAGATATGGTAACATTTTATCATTGATTATGTAGATGGTTCTTAACTCACCGCCCATTTGACACCTGCATGTGAGTTGTCATGCTGGACTGAACATGTGGGCCACTACGATCAGCATGAAGTGCAGAGGTCCTTATTTTATATTGAACTAGCAGGATACAAGATAATCTGTCCCCGGCTGGATGTCCTCGATATTTAGAGAAGTGAGACATTGTGCAGCAGTCTTTAAGTCAGAAAGCGGTGTCACCTGCGCAGGTCTAGGTGTTACCTGCTCTGGCCCATCACTGCTGCCATGGGTATAGGAATGTTCCCCTTGGCTTTGCCATTCATGGTAGTAAGAACCCAAGTTTTGGAATTGTATTTTCCGTTCTGACAGCTCTTGGGCATGGAGGCACTTAGTCTGTCTTGTCCCCCTATGGTTCCTGTTCAGCGCAACCTCTCCAGTTCTTCCAGAACTATTCATGCTATTTATTTTTCAATTCCTTCCCCTAGATTAATCCTCTTGTTTTAATCACCATTTGTTCCATGTGCCACCCTGCACATCTGCTTTTTTGATTACAGCTCTTCTCTGAGCAGAAAACTGCCTCTAGCTCTATTAGCAGCAACAACAACAAAATTAGATAAAGCATTTCATACCTCCCAAGCTGTTTTGAATGAGCTTGTGTGTTTTGTTAACAACAGAGAAACGTAGAGCTAAACTTTCTCCTGGCTTAGCCTGGAGAATGGAATTACTGGGGGAATTGCCACCTGCATGCTGCTGTAGCTCTGTAAGTTTAGCAGTTTGAGCTGCCTAATTTAAACTGCTTTTCTTCTTGGTAGTGCCAGAAAAAGGCAGTTGTGAAATTGTAGAGTGTCTTGGCAACAGCACAGAGCTGCTCGGAACTGTGCCTGCTGCTTAATGCGGCAATGGCATGGCAGCATCCCCAGCCCTGGCAGAGCACAATCACTCCCTGCAAAATGACATGCTTGATTTTTCATCCAGAACATGTTGTACTTCAGTGCTGTCAGTGAAGTGCTCTTTGTAATAGCCAGACCAGTTGAGGAGCATTTGGCAAATCATTTCTGCTTTCCACGTTGACATCGAGGGGTTTGATGCCTTTAAGGCTCTGCAGGAGGTTGCTGCTGCTCACCGTTAAACTACTTCTCCAGGCTGCTTCTCCCACATATTCATTTTCACTGTCTTTTAACAATCCTCTGCAGAGGGATTCCCACACCTCCTCATTCCTGTCCCTCTGGCAGACCCATCAGCATCTCCAAATGGCCAGACACTTCCTGTTCCTCATCCTGTTGATAACTTAACCTGAACTGTCATCTGATAACCCAAGTATTCTCAAGGGAGTGTTCAGACTACCTTGTCTGTCTGATGGGCTCTGTTGAGGACCCAGTTTCTCTTACATTAATAGATTAAGATCAGCAACTAAGCTGGGGAGTTGTGAAATCTACAGTGCCCGCAGGAGGTAGTGTAGTCCACAAGTGGAGAGAAGCAGATCTATGAGCATATGAGTAGTGGTGCTTTCCTGCTTTTTTTCTGGATTGCCAAAGGAGCTTCTTTTTTTTTTTTTCTTTTTAAACTTTTTTCTTTAATCAAAGAAATGGACAATTTCCACTTTTCTGGGGTGGAAATAATGAGGCAAATCCCCATTACAAAATAGGCCCTCTTAGCAACATGAATAGCAGTGAGTGCTTGCACTAGTGCAACTGGTGCTGGGAGAATAGCTGCTTAGGGGAGATGGACTTGAACTGCCCAATGTGACTCTGCTGCCCTTTACCTTTCTTGCCTCTCCTACCAGCTGCATGCTGGTGATGTTTAAATGGCTGGGTCTGTCCAAAGAGCTGCGGCCTGTCATCACAGTTCTGGAGAAGAGAGCAGTGTGCTGTGGGTGCCAGTGTGGTATGCTTTGCAATGCTGAGACCACAGTGACTGACTTCCCTCTCTGGGGTTAGGCTTCAGAGAAGTGTGGCTATGTTGCAGTGGACATTAAAGGATTAACATGCCTCCATGTTATAAACATGATTCCTCTGTCTTGGTGCTTGCTAGCTGTAATTTTCTGGGAGTTCCCTCACTGGTGAACCCACGTGAGCTGGCCTCTTGGCTGCTTGGCTGGCTAACCACTGACCAGGGTGGCTGCAGCAGGGAAGACTGAGCAGCTACTTCATGCAGGATGCTGTTATCCTTGTGGACAGTGCTCCTGCCTTAGCAGCTCTTCCCCACTCCAGTGCCAAGTTACCCTTTGTGTTAGGCAGTGTCTTGCATTCAGAAATTTCAGTGTGCTCTGTAAATGCTTCTTGCTTTCAGTTTCACTATCCTTCTTATGCTGGGGGCTCCAGAGCTGGACACAGTACTGCAGGTGGGCCTCATGAGAGCAGAATAGAGGGGCAGGATTTCCTCCCTTGACCTGCGGTCACGCTCCTTTTGATGCAGCCCAGCATATGGTTGGCTTTCTGGGCTGCGAGCACACATTGTGAGTTATGTTGAGCTTCTCATCGACCAACATCCCCAAGTCCTCATGGCTGCTCCCAGTCCAGTCTCCACCCAGTTTGTATTCATGCTTGGGGTTGCCCTGATTCACATGCAGGACCTTGAACTTGGCCTTGTTGAACTTCATGAGGTTCACATAGGTGAACGTGATGTGGTGCTGAATGCCATGGTTCAGGGTTGTGCTGCGTGAAGAAGCACTTCCTCTGTGTTAAATTTGTGATGTCACAGATTACATCCTTTACATGGGAACTGTGAAAAATAGCACATAGAGATCCCTTACTTTTACGGGCAGTAGCTGTCAGCAGAGCCAGTGATGCAGTAGATCTGGTATGGCGTGGAGCGGAGCTTGAGAAGCTGCTTTAATTAAATCTGTTAACAACAGATTGCATGTCTGCAGCATCAGAGCACTGGAAATGGTTCTGTAGAGCACTGCCTCATTACAGTATTTGCTGCCCCACGTGAAAGGACTATACTTGAGTTTTTGGCAGGAGAACCAAGGCACAGAGGTGATTACTTGTGAGGCACAGAGGCCTTTTGGCAAAGGCAAGGAAGGAGGCTATAAATCTTTCAAAATCTTTTTCTTGGTCCCTGAGATGATGCACGCAATTGGTGGAATTAAGCTGTGTAAATTTTGTCACAGCTGACAGGACTGAACAGGTTACCCTCGGGTCTTTTTGTGCACAGTTTGTCATTTATCTGTCTGAAGGTCCTGGTGACTGTATTCTGTGCATGTATCTGCTTTCCAACAGATACACCCAATCTACAGCTTTCATATGACACGTAAGAAAGAATCAGGGTTCTTGCAGTGGCTAAATGAAATATGAGATCCCCGACAGGCTGGGATTTGAAATCCCCAAACCTGAAATATGAGATCCCAGCTGGAAATAAACTGGCAATACTCTGGGGTCTCTAAACAATTTGCCCCAGATCCAAATCATGAATCTGTCCGCTGACCATAGGGGGCTGACAGTCACATTTTCCAAATGAATTAAAGTTGAAGCGTTCCAGAAATGGTCTCCAAAACTGCGTTTTTCAAAGTGGGAACTTTTCAAGTGCACCCACTTGATCTCCTACAGCTGCTTTTCTTCCCACTAATTCTGCAATTGCCTGAGCTACTGTGCAGCCATGTAATCATTGGCTATAATAGTAAGTTTCAAAGCATCTGAAGGCACTGTTACCTCCCAGAAGAATATATTTCAGTCCATGGAGTCATAGAATAGTTAGGGTTAGAAAGGACCTTAAGATCATCTAGTTTCCAGAAGAACTCTTTCACACTTTCATTTCCAGGCTCTTCTGTGGCATTTACAGTACATACGAAGTCATAGAAGAATGGTGAAAAAATATGCATAAAAATATGTCGGCATTGCAATTTCCTCTTCGAAGAGACTCTCTGGACTTTCTAATGGACAACTTAACAGAACAGAAGACAGCTTCTGTCACCTAGTGCAGAACTGGAGAAAGTAATCAAAAGAAGCACAGAAGTTAAGAGCTTTGGTGGAGTTTGGGTTAACTAAGTTTGTAGGATCTTACAGGAGCTAAACACAATTTGGAAACTTGTCAGTCTTGAGCAAAAAGGGAATACTTGCCTCAGGAGTCAGACTTGATAGGCAAAGGGAAAAGGCAGAGGTGGTCTGTTTTCTCTTGGTACTTGGTCACACTTTCTTCTCTCTCTTATTTGTCTAATACTGCTTGCTCACTTACCCAAATCCAAAGCCAGGAAGACTAAGCAATAGTGTCTGCTTTACAAAGCACTTGAGAAGGATGGACCAGAAGGCACTTTCTGCACATGGGCTGATGAGAAGATAGGGTTTGTGTGGAGTTACTTTACAGAGGGAGGAATTGCACATGCCTTTTCTAAAGGAATACATGCATACCCAGGTTAATCAAACTTGTCAGTATGTGATCTTGTAGCACCTGTGCTTTCACCCATTGTATCATAGACACTGGGCCTAGCTTTTCCACCCAAGTACAGAACAGATACAGATACATCCCCTTACAGAAGCTTCTCCAGTTCACATCCATGGCACAGGCATGCTTATCTGCATTACCTTGTGCAACAGATGTGTAGGAGAGACATGGGTAGCTCTTCCACCCTTCACAGATGGGTAAAGTATGGTCCTCCTGATAGTGGCAGAGGGGCTCAGCCCTGCACGCTTTCCAGTGTCAAGGCTTGATTTTGGCTCAGGCATGCTCTGTCTGGGGGAGAACAGCAGAGAGCACAGCAAAGTTGCACTGAGCAGAGGTGGCAGGCAAAGGCATGAGCAGCCTGGACTGGAAATGAGGAGCAAAACTAGTGAACAAAGCATGGATCCTTTTCACTGAGCACCCTGGTGTGGAGGTGATGCCTGTATGAAGCAGACGTAAGGATAATTGAAGGCTCAGGCTCTGATAAAAGAGGTAAAGACTTCTCAGACATCTTAAAACACAATTGTATGTATTGTAGTGTTACTGGAGAAAAGAGACATCTAGGACTGGGTGGGAAGAGTTTTTGACTCTGTGGAAAGCAATCAAGGTTGTAAATTGAAACACCCAGCTATTATTCATTGTGTTGGACACAGGCAATGGCTGAATTAAATCCTCTTGGATTAATTATTGCAAATTGAAGAACTCATTTTGGCTTCTCATTTAGACTTCTCTTGTGACAAAACTCTATTAGCACCCAGTGTAATGGGCTGTAAGATAATGTCAAATTTGTAGAAACTAGTAAACGTAAAAATAAGCTTCATTACGTGACTAGCTCACAGGGAAGATTGTGTTAACTTTGGCATGGCCTATGAGGTTGGTTAGTTAAGAAACGAGAATGTTCTAACATTAAAGGCTTTAATTTGTGTGTTATGAGCTTTTAAAATTCTGTTAAGTGACTACTGTAAACAAATATTTGAGAACTTTGCTTGCAAAAATGGAGACAAATTCACCAGGTTACTCATTCCTGACATTTTTCTGGGGGAGAGGTAATATGTCTGTGTGCAAATTACAGGGTGAATTCTTGGCAACTACAGCACTATTTGCCTGTATACATGTGGTCAGAGATACATCTTGTCCTTTGATTATGGGCTGAAATTACGTATGCAGGTGGCAAGCACAGCACATTCACTGTGCTGCGGTACCTTTACACCCTGCTTTACCTGCAGGGTGTTTGTGTATCTGCATCCAGAAGGAGCTTTTTCTCAGTGGACTGAAAAGGAACCTGGTAGCTCCCTTCAATTGTTTTCTGCCAGCAGCATCAACAGATCTGCCAGGTTCTGCTTCCTGGGGAGTGGCTATCGGTTTCTGCATAAGGTGATGTTTGTACTTTTATTTAAGTCTAAGGTGGTTTCTAAATTGCAAAAGTACCACACTCAGCATTCATTTTATTTAAGGCCTGATGTTCTCCATGGCAACTGACCAAAATCTGATCCGAATCATTGCCTTTTAATTCAGCCTCAAGGAAAGCAGGTTATTTTTAGTGAAGAATTTGTCCTTCAAGTGAACAGGGTGAGGACCCCATATGTAATGCTAGGATGGCTCTGCATTAGCTTGGGAGCTGGATCACCAGGTGGTGGGGTGGCGTCAGGCCTTTGGCAGAGAAGGGAGCAAGAGGACAATTGCTGTCACTTTGAGACTAGAATGAGCCTGTTGATCCCCTCCTTAGAGCAAGCTTACCCCAGGTAATGGCCAGTGTTAAGAATGGAAAACTAAAAAGTGAAATACAGATGTTGATTTGACAATTTGAAGGTAGATCAGTCGCAGCTGACTGCATCCTTTCTCTTGTGAAGATCTGACCCTTGTTCAATCTGCTCAACTTTCCTTTTTAAGCTGCTTGAAAATCCATCTCTGCCTATGGGGTCAAGTTGTCAGTCATCAAGTGAATTTCATTTATACTCTGTGCAGCCTAAAATTTTCAGACTGTGGAATAATGTGAGAATTTTCTTTCAGTTACGTAGGGGACTGTGAGATTCACATGGACATATCGAAATTTAATCTTGGAGTGAAAGGCGTACAGGTGCGTGCAGTGCTGATGTCTGTTCAGGGCTCTGTGGTGCAGGAGTTAACATGTACCAATGGGAGCGGGGGGTCACGACACTTAACTGGAAAACCACTGATGAGTAGGCGTGTAGTAATCAGTTTTATCTCCTTTGGTTTTGGCTGGGCTAATGTTGCCTTCCATGGAAGGCACCCAGATACCTCTTTAAAGTTTCTTAATGTGATTTTTAAACAGGGTCAGTGCTAGAGCATCAAGTTCATGTAGGACAGCTGTTGCCACTGGCACTCAAAAGAGTTGCAGGTTGGTAAAGAACTTCAGAAGAGACAGATTTGTCCGGGTGTTCATAACTGGTTCTTACATTATTGAAAGCTAATAAGCAGATCACTGCATTATACGGCAGTCAGGGTTGCAGAGAAGCTCCACAAGCATGGGAAGCATCCGCTGATATCCATAGCAGTGGTTTTTGGGGGGAGAAGGTTATTGTTGTCATTAAATTCTAAATAAAATTACTTCAGGTAGGGTTTTTAAAATTATCTAAATCACTGAAAAGCTCACAGTTTTGAAACTGCATCCTGAAAGTGCTTAAGACTCTGTTTTCCTTGCTCTCTTCTATTCGCAGTTGTATGGAACATTGCGGGTGATACTGGAGCCTCTTCTAACCGATGCACCTTTCATTGGAGCAGTGACTTTGTTTTTTATGCAGAAACCGGTGAGTCTGTAGTGAACTGCACTCTGTAGTGTTCCTGGCTCTTGGTCTATCTTAATGAATGGATAGGTCTTCAGTGAGTGACACAAGCTGTCCATCACTGGTAACCCAAACTATGCAACTGTTGAAGGCATTTGAATAGCAAATTCCTGATTGTTCAATGCTCCTCTTGAGCTCCAAGAGGACAGGAATGACTTTGCCCTGTTGTTTTGTAGTAGTAGTGCCTGAAAAGTTACTTGCTTCACTCTAAGAATGGGAGGACTTTCCAATGGTGACAGCACAGGAGCCATTTCCTAGGCCTTTGCTGCAAGTTTCCTGGCAGGTGGATTTTAATTCTTCCCATTCATAGATTTTAAATACACTCATCTTGGGAGACCATTCAGTCATGCTTGTGCTTTGAAAATTTAAGGTCACTCACCTTGTAGTTGAATTGTTAATAAATTCATGAGAAACCTTCTAGTCTTGTAAAAACTAGTTATAGCACACAGCTTTGCTTGCTTGTGGGTTATGGTCTGCTTGAGTTGATGGAAGTCATACATTTTTGATCTTGGATGAGGTGTTTTTGTGTTTAGATATAGTAGTATTACGTTAGCACATTAAAAAAACCTTGTTTATTGTGTGAATAGGAATACAAACTCCTGAAGTCAGGTGGTGTTTGTAAATCCTCCTGCCTCAGGGTATAGGCCAACCCCTAAGTGAAATGATGAGGAAACAACTTCAAAGACTAGGTAGAGCTGTCAGGTTTACTATGTATAACCCCAGGGCATCTGCCAGTGGCCATTGCTAGGGGCTGAATGCTTTCTTTCCCTGTACTTGCAGGGTAAGTCCAAGTGATACCCTTATTTCATGTATGGCAGATAAAATGGATAAGGGAATAGATACCAGCTGTTGGTCTCAGTGTACAGATGCAGTCACTGGGGCAGATTTTGCTTTCTTTAAACAGCGGCTTTGTTTTACAAGCATTTGCTTCCCCTTTAAATTCTACATTTTTTTCTGAAATAAATTTTAATAGTCCTGTATAATTTTTCTCCCTGATCTTATTGTAGCACTTGGAAATCAACTGGGCAGGCATGAGCAACCTCCTGGATGTTCCAGGGATTAAGTGAGTGTTCACTTTGCTTCATTTTACTCTTCCTTAAAAAACCTTTGGAAGTTGGGACAACTGCATTCTTTAGTAACCATCAAAACTATTCTCAAGAGCATTGCATAAAAGATGTGCTGATACTCATCCCATTGTATCTGGCTGTGGAGTTCACAAGACCTGAGGAGTGCGCTTTTTACAATCTGTCAAGATTGCTTCAATCACTTCATTGCATTTAGGATGGAAATAGTAAATCCTCAAAACAACAATTTTCTGTAAACTAAAAAACAAGCCCTTACGTTTTCCACGTGCCAGTTACTTGCAAAGGTAGATGAGGTAGACCTAGGTGACGGGCAGTCTGAGCTTACATTTCTTTGCCGTAAAGTAAGAAAAGGCAAGGTATCACAGAGTTGCAGTCCCTCTGACAAACGGAGATACAAGCCATGATAAAGAGAACTGCACCAGATTTATAACAAGAAACATTCTTCTCTTTCTGTGTAATCTGCTCACCCTTTAAGATTCTTCAGAAAATGTAGCAGTTCTTCCCCAGTGCCTCTTGGGTTGATCTTGTACATAAAACTTGCAAAGCAAGGATGAAAATCTTAGTGGTTTTCATTACTAAGCTTCAAACTGTTTCTCCAGGTTGGAGGTTCACTTTGTCCTTGTTCCTTAGTGCAAGCAGAAATTTCTGTTACAGAAGAACAAAATACATTTGCCTTTCTCCCTTTAAATGCAATTGCAGACACTTCTGTTCCCCTTTCTTCCTCTGCAGCTCATGGTTTGCAGTTTCATAGGAAGTGGCTGGCTGCTTCAGGTGCCAGTTTATGCATTAAAGGGTCTCTGAAGACCTTTGATGTTGAGTAAGAGGAAGTTTTCTTTTTCTCTTAATTTGAGGCAAGAGTGGCCTTTGCCCTGAAGTGAGCCTTGGGAGCTCCAGTTTATATCAGAGAAATTAATCTGTCTTTTCTAACATGTTTTCCTTAATCCTTGCGGGGAGAAGGTGTGTAGGTGTTCCAACCTACAGCCTCTCTTATAATGAAGTGCAAATTTGGTGTCCTAAATTTTCAGTCCATGGCTCTCTCACAGGGATTTGAACACAGAAAGCCTTTCCTGATCATCAGCACTGCACATGAAAGCCAGGAACAAAACATGCCTGACCACGAATAGGTTGAAGTACAGGTTAAACAAGAGCTCCCCCTTTCAAATGAATTGCGCTTATTTAAGAGTAATGAAACTGTCTGTCCTCGTGTACAAGCTGTATTTATTTGGGTGTACCCTGAGACTCAAGAGAAGGGACAGTTCTGTGACCTTCTTGTGGGTGGGTTGGTTGGTTGGTTTTTTATGATAGGAAAGCCAACAGCCTGACCAAGGGCTTTCAGGCTTCTGGTTTCACATTTGGAGTAGGAAAGGACTTTCCTTCTGTGTGAATCTAGCCTCATCTGAGAGCTGTGATAATTTCGTTGAGGTCTTACCCTGAGAAGCTACCTTGTAAGCACTGGGTTTATCAAGAAGATGAAAGTCTTTCAGATGATTAATGCAAAAATAAGCCAAGCTATTTTGTTTTGAATGTAGTTGGCTTCTCCTTCCATTTTACAGTAAGGTCCCTGAGTCCCCTGTGAAATGAAGAAGCTTACTGATTCCCTCCTCGCTTTGTCCGTCACTGGTGTTGGCATTCCCAAGGAAACACATAAGGCACATGAGTTTGTATGACTTGTCTGGGGGTGTGACCACCTCATCATATGGCCTATGCTTCCATTCACTATTTACAACCTGGTAGATCTAAATTCCCCTCCAGCCCTAGTAACCCTAGAGTGGAACATCCCTGCATCAAGTGGGCACTTGCACGGTGTGTGCCACAAGGCAATGACACTTATTTGCAGAATGACAGGGAGTAGATGGAAAGAGATCTTGAGAGACTGCCCCATGCTCATATTCTTCTTTGCAGCAGCTCAGCTGGATACAGGAGACAGCCATACTTTCTGCAGTGATCCACGTCCACCGTTGGTGGATGATTTTGGTGTTGAACTGCCCATTTCCTCTTATTCTAAGCTAAGTCATAAGCATGACTTTCTTCTGCCTGTGTGCAATTGTATGTAGGCACTCATAGAATCATTGAGGTTGAAAAGACCCTAAAATCACCTAGTCTAACCATAAACGCAAGACTGCCAAGTCCACCACTAAACCATATCCCTGAGTGCCACATCTACACATCTTTTAAATGCCTCCAGGGATGGCGACTCCACCACTTTTCTGGGCAGCCTGTTCCAGTGCTTGATAACTCTTTGGGAGAAGGTGGCTGCCACATCCCTGGAAGTTTTCAAGGCCAAGGATCTTTGAGCAGACTGGTCTAGTGGAAAGTGTCAGGGGGGGTGGAACTAGAACCTGATCTGTAGCAGGGGGTTGGAACTAGATGATCCTTAAGATCCCTTCCAAGCCAAATCATTCTATGAATCTGTGAAGCCAGCAGTATAATTCATTTTGCAGTGCTCATTTATTTCACTGTGCCTCATTCTTTCCTTCTAACTGAAACTCTGGCTGATTGTAGAGATTTAGGTTGCTTTTTTTCCACTCCCCATGCAGTGTAATGTCAGACTCACTAATTCAAGACTTCATTGCTTCACGGCTGGTTCTACCAAACAGGATCACAGTGCCTCTGAAAAAGAACATGAACATTGCTCACTTGAGGTTCCCCATCCCGCATGTGAGTTGGTTTCAGTTTGGGTCTTTTTTTTTTCTTTCTTTTTCTTTTTTCATCAGAGGTGTTAATGTGCCTGAATTTACATCTGCTGCAATGTGGATGCATACAAGCTTAGTGTCTTAGGCTCCTGTATCAGCTGTTTCCACCTGGATTGTAGGCTTTCTGTAGCCAGCATTTCAGAAATATGAAAGCAGATGTTGGGTGGTTTACAATTTAGGGAAGAGGTGGGACTAGAAGGGTCCTACTCTATATGGCATAAGAAGTTTGTTTTGACACTGAGTCACGGACCAATTGAAGACTTTAGTCACCTTTGAGAATACCACAGCTCTTCAGTTAGAGAAGGTAAATACATGAGCAGTGAGTGTCAAGCTACTTAGGTTTTTCACTAACACTGTGAAGGTGTGTAAATGGGCAGCTCAGAGGGTGACTTCTCTTTGTTACAGGAAAAATAATCAGGGGGAAAAAAAACCTAACAACCAATATGAATGTTTGACATAACCAGATCTTCAGTTTCCTTCATGCATCAAATACCTAATTCACTCAGTAATGGGGGTAAATATAAATGAATGACAAAGGGATGCTCCCTATTACAAATTTATATCACCAAATTGAAGTTGAATGGCCACTCCACAATAAAATAAGAACCTGTTGGTGGGTGCTTAGTTCCTCCTTCAGGTAGCAGGAATTGATTTTTACTTTTAATTTACTTTATTTTTTTTATTTTTACTTGCAATCCCATGTGCATAATCATGCTTCTGATTTAAAAATAAATTGAAGAATACCTTCTACCCAGTTATCTAGATTGGTTTGTGTGTCTGTTTAAGGTGCTCGTTTTGAGTTGGGTTTTATTTTACTCCTATAGGTAAATGGTGAAAAAATGTTTTAATACAACTGTCATTAGAAATACCCTGCATCAAAATACATGTCTTTGCAAAGCTGTCATGGTGACTAACCTTGCTCCCTGAAATAACTATTTTTAGGAGTTAGCATATTATAATTATTCAAAGATCACCTTTTCATGAACAATTTTGTATCTTATTTTATTCAGGGAGTAGTAAGGGTTCATCTGCTAGAAGCTGAAAACCTTGTCCAGAAAGACAGTTTCCTTGGTGCAATTAGGGGGAAGTCGGACCCGTATGCTCTTCTTCGTGTTGGCACGGTGCAGTATCGAAGCAAGACAGTTTCCCGAGATCTTAATCCTATTTGGAATGAGACATTTGAGGTACTGAATCTTCTGACCTTTCCATCTGTAGGATGCACAGCCATTTACACCCCTGTGCTTGGAGGACCTTCTCTTAGCTGACTGCACTGGAGCAGGTGGACTTCCTTGTTACTTGATTGAGGCACTTCTTTCCCTTAAACAAATTCAAATTTACATTGCAAACTTGAAATGTCATTCAGGTTGATCTGATTTACATATGTGGGTTTTTGGAGGAGGTGCAAAGCGCTGCTTTAAATATCAATCAGTACAGCATAAACTGTAATCTGTGCAGCTGTAATCTGTTCTAGTATTGATTCTTCTCTGCTTATTAGGAATACCAGTTTGAGAGGTTTAAATTGCAATTCAAAACCAAGCAAACTGGTTTTGAAATATTTTCACCTATAATCAATTGTATTTCTTACACAATTAACCATGAAAACAGCAGGGAATGTCCTTAATGTGTTAAACAGCTGTGAAGTATTCATGTCACGTATATAAACCTATGTAAATGGGTTTTAATTTTAATCAATACCTCCTTCTCTTCCAGTTTGTTGTTCATGAAGTGCCTGGTCAGGACTTAGAAGTGGACTTGTATGATGAAGATCCAGATAAAGATGACTTTATGGGCAGGTAAATTAAGGCGCAGGGTACGTAAATTAGAGGTTACTAGACCCTTGTTGCAGAGGTTACTAGGGTCTAGTAACCTCTGCAACAGAACACCCAGATTACTCATACTGGAAATTTAATATTGAAGGAAGTTATTCCCTTTGTCCACATATTGATACCAAATTACTAGTTCTTAGTGCAGCTAACTTTCAGCAAGGCAGAGAATGGCCCAAACTCCTTCAGGGAATCCTAGGAAGCCATTAGAAGGCTGGTTACACAACTTGAGATTTACTTTCAACTTACTTTAGTTTTGGAAGTATTTCAAGGGGGAGACTTCGGAAGTGTGTGTTCCAGTGCACATGCACGCAGGTAATGCAGAGAAGGTGTTATTTGAAACAGATTTGAGTGTGGGCTTTATTGGTGGTGGCTTCTCCCCCGAAAAGCAATATGTTGTATGCCTAAATATACACTGAAATGTTTGCTTTTCATATTTCAGCTTGCTTATAAGCCTGGTGGATGTAATGAATGACAGAACTGTTGATGAGGTAAAGATCACAGCTCTATATTTCTATATCTGGTTGGCAATACATGCTTACATGTATTCATTTGTGCTTTCCCTCTGCTACTGAATTGTTTCTGAGTGCTTAAAGTGTCCTTGCACATTTGCACTGTGGTGTTTTCGCAAACAGAAGATACCTTCATTCATAAAACTTCAAGTAGCCATTTCAATAATTTTTACAATGAAGCTGGCAAACTCAGGCAGCCCTGAGGTTACGCTGAGCCAGCAGTGGGGTATCTTATGTTGGTGTCTTGTGTCCTGTAAGTACCAAACATTTTGTACAAGGCTGCAAGTTAGTTTGGTGAAACAGGCTGATTGCTGGGGGAAGAAATGCTCCGGTCTTCTTGTGGTTCCTTCTGTAACCCAGCACTCTGCAAACAGTGCCAGGGTGCCTGTCTTGTGCTGCTGGCTGGAAGTATCCATGTGCCTTGCACGTACATGGTATCTTGGTTTTGGTTTTTTCTGGCTTGTGTTTCTGAGTAGATGGATATGCTACAATCTAAGCACCAAAAATGCAAGCTAAGGCACTCAAGATACAATCCATATTGTCTATTGTATGTAAGTCTCAGAATGCAAGATTTACACAAGATTTATTCTGCCTCACCTTTCTCAAGTTACTCTTTGTCGTTTCCACTTAGTGGTTTCCCTTAAGTAAGACAACAAGCGGACACCTCCATTTAAAACTGGAGTGGCTTTCACTAGTAAATGACCAAGAAAAGCTACATGAGGTGAGTATATTTTCTTAAAGGATTCCAATACTCTGATCTCTGTCCATCCAGTGATCAACAAGGGAGTGTGTGAAGTTAGGGACACGAGGCAAACTCACAGGACCTTATTTTTCTATTCTATGAATCTATGATTCTATTTTTGTCTGAAAAATTTTGATGTGATTTCACGTCTCTGCCCCTCCTGATGAGGAAGGGCATTTTCTTGCCCCAGGTCCCTTGGTAATTCAGGAGTAACTCAAATCTGGAAGCTCTTTTTACTTGAATTAACAAAGCTTGAAGATACTCACTGCAAAGTTCCCTTCTTTGATAATTTTTCCCTTCTCTCATCATCTAGAATCTGTGCAGGACCCCTGTGTATAACCTGTACCGCTCACAGACAAATAACCCAGCACTGGTGCTTGGTAGGGCCATGCTTCCCAGTGATGTCTTGTTTGTCCAGCAGAATTGCTTGGATAAAGCCCATCTCCTAAGGATGACGCTGCTTCAGAATCAAGCAAAAGCATTTGAGTTCCACTGAAGTGAATAAAATTTGTTTCCAGGCTTTGTTCTGCTGACACTGATGCAGATGTATGTGGCTGAGCATATTTTTAGATGTCTAGCTGCTCTGGAGAATCCAAGCAGTTCTTCATTAGAAAGACTGAAAAGCATCAGGACCAGTGAACTGAAAAGACTTGCCCCTTTTCTTACTGGTCTGCTTAAAACTGTCACTCTGTTTTGGCTTGTGCTCATCTGAACTGCAAGTTTTAGGAAAAAGGTGAAGAGATGCTTAGCTTTCAGAAACTGTGTTTTGAATTTGTGTTGTGCTTTGCGTTGTCCTTGACGTGTGATCATGCCTACCTTGTGTTTCATCTTTCCTGGCCTTCACAGGATAAGAAGGGTCTGTGTACAGCTATTCTGATAGTCTACTTGGACAGTGCCTTCAACCTCCCAGTAAGTACAAATCACGTGCAGGCAGCCTTCACTCCTAACCTTTTATCAAAGCCCACAAATTTAACTGGTTTTAAATACTCTTTTAATAATTCAGAAAAACCACTTTGAGTATTCGAATGGGGAATGTGGAGCAAAGAAGATCAAGAATAACAAGTACCTCAAGGTAAAATTTATATTCTTCTCCCATGCTTGCAAGCCAACATTCTGGATTATGCACTATTGTAGCAACTGAAAAGAGATGTGGTTAAGAAGAAATAATCTTACCGCCATCAAAATCAAACTGACTGGGGTTCAAAATAGTGATTGAAAGCCAACCCCCACCACAGTGAAAATCTAGGAGGTCTGTGGGGGAATCAGAAATATCTGACTGTGTGGGGCTGTCTTTATGTTTATTTTACACCTTGGACAGAGAGCTTTCAGGCATCAAACCAAGTCAAGTCTCTTCATCAGGGTTTGTAGTGACAGGAAAATGGACAATGAATTCAAACTTGAACAGGGGAAGTTCAGGTTGGATATAAGGAAGAAGTTCTTTACTGTAAGGGTGATGAGGCACTGGAATGGGTTGCCCAGGGAGGTTGTGAATGCTCCATCCCTGGCAGTGTTCAAGGCCAGGTTGTACAGAGCCTTGGACAACATGGTCTAGGGTGAGGCATCCCTGCCCATTGGAACTAGATGATCTCAAGGTCCTTTTCAGCCCTAACTAGTCTATGATTCTGTGTTACCCTTTTTGGCTGATACAGGGCTTCTTCCCACGCTGAGCTGTTCCAGCATGACCTTTCATATTGGGATGGGAGGAATATGCTTTTTTGTGGTAACCTTCCTGTGCACTGGAGACCTCATCACCAGATTCCTGCCCCTCAGTTTTACAGGGATTCAGAAGCCATGCTTTCACCTGGGCCTTCTCTCTCTTTGCTTCTGCTTACCTTTTTCCCAAATACTGCATTTTGCTACTGTGATATAAACGGGGTTTACAGGGAGCAATGTTTTTCTTCTTTTTTTTCTTGAACAAGCTACACATCACCACAGCTCTGAACAATGGATAAAGCTCCTATTCTCTCTGAGTAACTCTCCTCTTAAATGCAGTCTTTTTAGATAAGTTCCCAGCACTGTCACACACATCACATTTGATAATCCTTAATTTTGGACTTCACCATATCCACTTTGTATACACTGTTGTGCCAAGACCAACCTTAACTTCTATAGCATTAATGCAAAGAAGCACACTACAAGAGGTTTGGTATTATTGCTTCTGGAAGGAATTCTTACTTGATGCCAAAGACTTGCTTCTAGTTGCTTCACAGCAAGTTTCCTGAGCATTGGAAATCAATTCTGAGAGTCCTGTTTCACACAGGAATGATGAGTGTTTCCACTGAGCCTTCAACTCTCTTACCTGTTTCCTTCCAGCTTCTGACAAATTTTTAACTGCTCACCTATTGAAACCTAAATACATAAAACTGTGGCTTAAATGTGTACTCTAGATGGCAGAGGGTAAGACTGAGCTGTGTTTTGGCTGGAGTCTCTCCTGCGTACTGCACTCTTCAGATGTCCCACATCTAGTGTCGGCTTTCCAGCAATTTGTCTCACTAAAAGTAGTGGTTTGATACTGTTTCCTGTAAACTATAAATGTATCTTCTTTTTAACTTTGTTTTTTTTTTTTACTTCTCCTGCTTTCTTTATTATTTCTTTTCCTTGTATTGACAGAAGATGGAGCGAGAACCTTCCTCCTTCGCCCTGCTCACAGTAGGAAACAAGACCCAGAAAAGCAAGGTGAGGCTGTTTGACTCTTCTGCTTTCCTTAAATACTTTCTATTTTATGGCTGTCACCAAGTAACCCCTAGGAAGGGCAGGACCAGTAAAGCTGATGTGAAGAGCTGTCGTTATAGTGGGAGCTGCAGAGGCTAAGATGTGGAGGTCCGCTTCAGCGTGTGGAAGCATCGTGTCATTGGGTTGTGCTTGATTAGTGGGTGCCTGCCCAGCTGCTGTACAGATGTGTGGTTTTATGTTCATGGTCATGAGGTCCTGTTGGTCAAGATACTCTAGTTCTTTGAGGGTTGAAGAGTTAAAAATGGTAGGTCTCCAATCTGGCTCATGCTTTCTCAGGGCAAGGTGTCATTTTCATCAGAGGCATTTGCTTCCTCATGAGTCTTCTGGTTCCTGTGTTTCGCAGTTCTACTGATTTATTTTTTATTATTTATTTATTGATTTTTAACCTGGACAAGATGTATCTAGATCTCATTCACTGCACTTTCAGTTAATTTTTCATTATTTAATACTTACTTTTGCCTGATGAGCATGAGCAACAGCTGAGTTCTGCCTTCCTAGAAGCTGCTGTGTTCACGGCCTGGTGGAAGCAGCTGGTTTATGGAGCAGCCTCAGCCACAGCCCCTGTGGGTGTTTTCCATGCTTTTAATCTTGAAGTGGATGGTGCTGAAGCTGTACACTCTTCCCACAAGCTCTACACCCACCAAACCACCCCTCTAGCTTTCCTACCCTTCCCTGCCAGCTCGCTGCAGCTTTGGGAGCTGGCTGTGGGTGCCTGCAGGCTGGAAGCAGCACCCTGGCACTCTCTTGGTGGAAGGGTGGGAGGGAGGGAGCGGTGCCTTGCTGCAGGTGAGGTAGGCTGCTGGTCCAGGCTGTGCTGGTTGGGGCCAACTGCAGCTCACCAGACTTGTTTGTCGGCATTTCCATGCCCCACAGAACTTGTTCTGATTTTTCCAGAGACTTTGCTTCTGCACAGTTCTGACCTGGAAATTTCATTGTCTCAATACAGCTAGGGTGTAGCATCACTGAATAAAACAAGAGGGTCACCTCTCTGGTGACCAGTGTTGTGGTATTCTTTGCTGTTTGTAGAATAAGCTGATATATTTGCCACAATCTTCTTGCTGCAGACCTGCAATTTCAGCAAAGATCCAACATGGGGCCAGGCTTTCACCTTCTTTGTCCATAGCGCTCATTCCCAGTCACTCCATGTTGAGGTAAGAGAAAAGCCTTTCCTTTGAAGAGCAAGTGCATAACCTTAGGAAGAAACCTGTTTTGTGGTCGATGTGATCTCAGTGCTGGTTGTTTCTATATGCTTGTACTCCTACTTAAGAGGTGGAAGAAGCACCTGTTGTTGCATGGGTGATTCTCTGTTAGGTGATGCTGGTATCTACCTTTGCTCTAGGATCATGTGCAAAGGAGGTTTTATACAGGTCTGTGTGCAATAAAGCCACGAATATTTTGCTGTCAGAAATTGCAGCCTTCATAATTCTCAACCAGAGTTCAATCTCTTCACCTTGGTATTTCGTCTCATTAAGAAATCCTGTATCTCACCAGCATACATTGCAGTCACAGCCAGTTCTCTGGCAGTTCACTTGGCCACAGAAATGGATTTCAACTTAGAAGGTATGCTGAGGATAATAGGCTAACAAGCTATTACCTAAAAAGCTTGTAAAGGCCAGTTGTCATCCCTGGTGACTGGGACATTTTCCCCCAAGTAAGTAAGGAAAGTCAAGTAAATGCCAGGGCCTGATAAGGCAGCTCCTTCTCTGCATAGGAGATGTGATTTTTACTCAAACATGCTAATTTGTTACACTCTGAAATAGTGGCATCACCCATTTGGAAGTAACCATACTTAATAGTATGTCCTGGAGTAAATAAGTTAATTTTGGTTTCTGTCTGAAATACCTTCTTGCTTTGCTATTCCCAGTGGTAGCTTTCCAGCTTGCCATCTAATAACTTCCCCCCTGCTCCTAGATAAAAGACAAGGATCGGGACAGTGTTCTGGGAACTTCAGTGATATGTCTCTCCCACTTACTTACGGACCCAAACATGACTCTGGATCAAAGATTTCAGCTGGACCATTCCAGTTCAGACAGCTTCATTAAGATGAAACTTGTGTTGCGGGTAAGTTCTTTTCTCTGTTCACTCCGCTTCCTCAATGGAAACACCCAGTTCTAACAATAAAAGAGATGGGGAGAAAGGTGGGGTGTGGAGAAATGCAGCTTTGCTTTACAGATGAGTAGAAAACGAAAGTGTGACAAGGACTTTAAGTGCCATTAAGAGTGCATGGTGGAGCTAAGATGTATCCCTGAGGCTTCCTAACACAGTGTAGTACCATTGCTGAAAACCTTCTCATGACAATAAAGAGTTGGACTGAGAAAATCTAAGCTGATGAAATCAAAGCTGCAAACAGTAAAGGAGACAGATGCTTAGGAGCTGTTTTCTCATTGTGCTCTGCGTTAGTGTTTAGACAGCGTTAAATATGTACACAGTAGGACAAGGGAAGAGATCACCACGGCTAATCCCATTGGCCTCTTTCATTTCCAATGGCAGATTCATGCTGTTACAGTTTTGTGGTGAAATTTCATCCCAGGTCATAATGCTCGCTTAACCCTGGTGCTTTGGGAGCAGCATTCATTTCTCTCCCTTGTGATTTTTAGACCTTGAATGTTGAAGAACCCGATCCACAAAGAGTCAAGGCTGGTGTCAGTGCCTCAAAGCAAGGACCTGTGCATGTCATTGAGAAGGGTGGAAACCAGCAAAAGTTTGTGTCTGCACCAGACCCAGAAGTCTCAAAAGTACCTCCAGTGAGCAAAGACTCTGCAGCACCTGAATCCCTGCTGAAAAAGGACAGCGGGGAAGACCTGGACACAAAGGACAGTTCAGCAGCATCGGTACCAAGTGAAGCTGTTCCTGGCCCTAATGAGGCAGAGCACAGCCAAAATCCAGAGCATCACACATCATCAGCACTGCATAGCAGAGCAGCGGTAGCACCCACACTGCCAGTCGTACAGGAACTGAGGCTTGCGCCCAGTGTTGCTTCGCTGGGTTCTCTGCCTTCTTCTTGCTTTGAATTAAGTAGCAGCAATCTGGAACTTCATAAGTAGGTGTTCTTCCAGCTGAATTGTTCTTGTGTGGAAAGGTTTAGGGTTTATAGTTTGCTGTTGCATATTGTTGAATTCATGACTGTTAAGTCATTTGGAATTTTGTGTCAAATCACCTTATGAAGAATTGACCTAAGTATTCCAGTCAACAGCAAAGTAAATGATGAGGTTACTATCAGTTCAGGTGTGAAGTGAAAGTCTTTCCTTCTCTGGCTCTCCTAAGAGATGCTGCTTATGTTTGCTTTATATTGTTTAAGAGCCTCTTGCACAGAATATCCTCGGTTCCATAATGCCCATGATTTTAGCAAAAGGGTATTGGAAGTCTGAATATCCCATTTCTGTAAAAACATAAAATCTCGATAAGCATTATCTGGCTGCTTAAAGTTTTGAATGCTGTGTTTTATCCAGAAACTTTTAAGACTTTCAGAATGCTGTGAGCGAAGTGTTTGTGACTAGGTGCTCTTACGTGTGTGTCCTTCCCACAGTACAAAGTGTGAGGCTGCAGGTAGTTGGCTTCATCAAGGAGAATGAAGAGCTGGGTCTGTTTCTCATGGGATGCAGAATGGTGTTAGTAGAATCCTTACTGAGCTGAAGTAGCAAAGAAGGTCCACCTCAGTTAAGAGAGCATCAGGGCAGTTATAAACCTGAACATCAACCCCAGCTCCAGCTGCTCAGTCTCGCACTTCTGGACTGGCAAATTCTCTAGGTCTGAACAGGGCCTCATTTAGAAACCATTTTTAAACCATTTTAAAGCAATGGTTTTGGATTTGAACCCACTTTAATAACAGGCAAAATGAAATATGAAAAAGGTCTCATTTTGCAAATACTGACATATTTGAAAGAGCTGCGTAATGTGCTCGCCTGTACTTTGCTGCTCCATCTTACAGCAGGACAAGTAGGTGCTTTTTTGGCTGTTTGTACTCAGGGACTGAAATGGGGTACTTTTTACAGAAGGCAGGCTAGGCAGTGCTGGCACCAACAGGAGCGCTGTTTCTGTGGAGCCTCTGTGGTCCAGCTGCTTTCTAGACATCAAACCTTAGGATGCCAGAAAGAAGAACAGTGCCCTGAAAATCAGTTTTAGTTAAAAACGCAGCACCAAAATTGTGTCCTGTTTTGTGCTGCTAGGCTTGTGCGTGTGGTCGGTTAAATAGCTGTCTTCAAATCTTTGATTGTGCAATTGTCTTACAGTGGGACTGAAATGCCTCTGGGAGAGATTCAGCTCACGGTACGGTACGCTTCAATACGGCAGAGTCTCGTCGTGCTGGTGAATGGCTGCAGGTAATGCTGACAATTGCTTGCTATGTCTGTAAAGGAAAGGGAAAGAGTTCTGAGCTTGTCAGATGGTCAGCAAAGCTGGAGCAGAACCTTGTGCTTTGTAAGCTGTCCAGTTGAGATGCATCAGCATTGGGTGGCTTCAGTCTGTGCAGCCACACTAAGCCCAGCTCTGGTCAATGGAGTGCAGCAGAAGTAGCTTAGCTTTCATTGACCCAAAACTACTTCTGACCAGCTGGTGCATGCCTTGGGATGTCATGATAGGCATCATGGCAAGGACTGGATACCTATGACTGAATTCGTTAACATTAATTTAAGAATCCCAGTAAGTGACCACACACTCAAGTAGTGAAAATTTTGTTTAAAGTTTTATTTACTTATGTTCCAATTCCCAAGGTAAATGTTTCTGGCCCATGAACCCATGAAGGATTAATCTGATTCTGAGAGACAAGATATGAAGACACAAGAATGTGCCTTGCTTGTCAGCACTGTATTTCTTTTAACAGAAACTTAGTACCCTCTTCCAATCGTGGAGTAGATCCATATGTTCGTATATACCTGCTTCCAGATAGAAGATGGACAAGCAGGAAGAAGACTTCTGTTAAGAAAAAAACTCTGAATCCCCAATATGATGAGAAGTAAGAAAATGTTAATTATGATTGTTGCTGAAATAGCTATGATCTCTATGTAATGAAAGGGCATGCACAGGGTTTGTGCCTGGTGCTGCTAAGGATTGTCTTGTGGACACTTGCAGGTCTTATGGAAAACCCCAGCACTTTGTGATTGCAAGTACTTGGGACTGGCCTTGGTCTGTCTGCGGTAGTGTCTGTTCCCACCCCTTCTGCTATCCTAGCAGGGGCAGCCTGCACTTGCTGCTTCGCATGCAGACATCCCCCTACCTGTGTTTAACTCCCTGTTATTGCAGAGGCAATCTCTCCATTCGGATGCTTCACAAAGCCACTTTCTCAGTTTGCCCGACACTCCTCTGACAGCTTTCCAAAAATCAAAGGCAGAAATACAAAACCTTTTGGGACTGGACCGTTCTTGAGACAGACGGATGGATGTTCTCATTGAGACCTGATGGGAGCAGAATGAAATGCTGCCACCTGTTTTCTGACAGTGTCATGTCCACAGTTCCCCCACTGAACTGGAATATGTTTTCTATAAAACCAAACATAGTAATGCTTAGAGCTCTTTTGAGAGGCTGTTTTAACCCCATATTTAGAGGAAGGTACATGTACGTGAATATTGGCTGATCCTGGGTGGCTCAGTTTTCCTATGTTGGGTCCGTCCTGTACATGTCAGTATAGGTCAGAAATGGAGAAAAGATTTTAAAATACTCCATTTTAAACACTAGAGTGGTGGATTACTATTCTCTTGTAACACCACTGATCTTGTGCCAGCACAGCTGTTAGAACAGCATCACTTTTTCCTCATCCTCGGTATTGACGTGTCTTGTACATCCTCAATTAAGTGTAATAGGTGGAGCAATACTTAGCTCCAAAACACATTACCTGTTTTACAACTCTGACTTGAGGAAAAGCTATTCAGGTGGGCAGAACTTCAGTGATTTAGCATGGACAAAACTCACTTGACATCAGATGATGTGTGCCAGAGGCATGAGTCGGAGCCATTAAGAACTTAATTGCCAGAGATTTCAACCTTTGTCTTCTCTTCATGTGGTTTAAACTGACTTTGTAAACTTAGGGGGTTGGCTCAGCTACTTCCTCTGAGTAATGCAGGTTGCACGGAAAACATGCTGATCTTCCATGAAGGAGGAAAATGATGGTAAATAGCATCTCATCACGGATGCGTGTTTTCCTCCTTCCCCCTGGCACAGTGAGCACTCTGAACAACAGTGTCGTAGTCTTGTGTGAGGCCTGGAAGAGATTTCTTACAATGCAAATAAAAATTTCCTTTTCTGTACCTTCCTTCTCTGGCCACCAGTGCTTACAGGATTTTAATTAAGTCTCTCCTTTCCAAACTTTACTTTTAGGTTTGAGTTTTTTGAATCTTTGGAAGATGTCAAGAAAAGGACGCTGGACGTTGCAGTGAAGAACAGCAGGCCATTCATTTCACAGGACAGGAAAGAGCTGGGGAAAGTAAGTTTAACAAAGCTGCTCTACTGGTTTAATAGAGCTGAGCATTCTGAGTGGCAGGATCCTGAAACACGGTTCTAGTGACTAAGCCTCAGGAGTAGGACTAGCAATATGGAAACAACTTTTTCTGCCATATTTTCATTTGAAGTCAGGCTGTACCCATGTGGAAGCTTGTATGGGCTCAGACGACTTCTGTGCTGCTTCATTTCAAAGGGATGCTTCTAAAGTAAAAACGTGTTTCCTGGGATCTGCTGCTGCCCCATTGGGGAATGGCCCCAATAGCACAAACACAGAGCTCAGAAAGACAGGTGATTAAACCCAGAATTTGCCAGCGGTGCTTTAATCTTTCTCTGTAAACTGGAATCACTTCTTCAAGTTGTGATACTAAGAAAGCCAGGGGCAGTGCTGAGGCTAGTTAGTGCCCAGGTCCTGGGAGCTCAGGAAGTTCCCTCTCCTTGAGCCTAACCTTAAGTGTGTCTGACATGGGAGGAGTGCTAGCTTAGCTAATTGATTTGTACGCTGAATAACATACACAGAAAGAAAATGTGCTTTTTAAAGGTGCGGATTGACTTGTCGCAGGAGGACTTGATAAAAGGCTTCGCGCAGTGGTAAGTTTTCATCTCCATGCTCTTAGAACATGCCACCTGTTTTGCTGGAGCTTGTGCACCTCTTGTTGGGGTGCTGGTAAAGGGGCCTGTTGTTTGGTGAGCAAGAACATATGACCCACAAACACAGGACTAACTTGGAGCTAATCTGGTAGTTTTATCTAAGTTGTCTGGTAATCTAGTTTCTTATGCAATACCTGCCCTGTGAAACAACTTTAATATGTCAATTATAGTCTTCAGCATATTTTAAGTTACCATGAAAGGCACTGGGAAACTTAAGAATTATGTTTATTAAAGCAACCTTGTGACAGATTTTAATTTGGATAAAGATCTTAACTAAATTAATAGTCTGATCAGCAATATATATATATGATAAAACTTTAATTACAAAGCATTTACAGAAACTATTATAATAAGCCACTTGCAATTTTGCTTGTGTGTTCATTGTGGTTCAGTTAAGCATTGGAATGAGGCAAAGATTGAGAACCAGGGTTTGTTTTTTTTCCCCCCTCCTATGTCTGTAGTTAACAGTGGTAGTTCTTCCTTCTTTCTCCTTCAATGAAGCCCAAGAAATGCAGCATGGTTAGTCCAGAAGCCTGCCATTCGTGCAGACAGGATGAGAAAACCAACTTCCCCTGGCCCTACTTGCCTGTGTGCCTCACAGAAGGATATGGCAATTACAGAGCAGGAGGAAATGACTCAACCCAAGTTCCTGGTGAAGGCTGACCCCATCCCTGCAGCTCCTTTTCCATGGTGCCTGTGAAGCATAGGCCATAAAGCAGCTCAAGTTCTCCCTGTGCCAGTTAAAACATTAAAGAAAGTCTGCAACAACTATAATTACTTATTGTGTCTGTCTTGCAGGTATGAGCTGACAAGGAGCAGGAGCAGGAAAACATGATTTCTTCTCATGTACACAAGTTACTGATTTTTGAACTTTGTAAGAATGTACATATCTCCTGTAATTAACGTGTTTTGAACAGTCACTGCAAATCTGAAGCAGTCTCCAGCTCAGGACATGTAAATTTAAGGATTCTACTCAGAAAAAAAAAAAAAACAAACAAAAAACAGAACCACCACATTGTGAGTAAATTGCCCCTCAATAAGGAGTTCTTTATTTTTGCTGTTTCTGGCACCTCTCTCCCAGAGAGCCCTCAACTATGGATGCGCTCTTAAGGAAGTGTTGTGCCTGGAGATCCTTCAGAGTGTCAGCTCAGTGTCATTACTTTGCTTGGTGGTCTCCTTTCCCCAGGATCCTGTTCATGTTAACATGAAAGCTTTGTACTTCTCACAGAATAAATTTTAAACAGCATTCTTCATCTGAGGGCTACAGAAGCCATTGGAAGAACCTGTTTCAGACTTTAATGGCAATTGTTTTTTGAGAAACTAAGAAATTGATATTCCACTGTTTAAAAGTATCTTGGCAGATTGTGGCTGCAGATATGTATATAAAGAACTTCCAAGAGGAGGGAGATCAGTTCACCAAGTCATTAAGGTTTCAGTTTGTGACGCCTTAATGCATTTTGTTCTTTATTGCAGTACATTTCAAAATCCCTGTAAACCTTGATAGTAAAGTGTTCTGCCTGAGGAACAGCAGAATTTTGTAAAGTAAGCTTTCTTAATAGCAGAGCAAATTATACCAAAACTATTTTTGGAAGCTTAGTGTATTGTTTCTGTACAATAAACTTCTGTCTTGCGTAACTATCTTGATCTATGCCTTTCTGAGACTGACTTTTGAAATATACAGCTTCAAATCTGTGCTAGGCAGAAGCCCATAAACCAGCACCTGAAACAAGTGTCAAATACTTTTGGTTTGGATTACATAATCTAGTCTGCCTCCATCCATAACCAGCAATACGTAACTCGCACAGTAAAAATCTGCTCACATCCCAAACTGATCTGAAAATGTAAACAACATTTTAAAATAGGCTGTCCAGCAAACCAAGACCAGGCCATTGATGGAACTGTTATGGCTAAGCTGTTAGAGCACCTTTCTCTCATGCCATGTCAGCAACATTCAAAATGCTTAGTGGTTAGAGCACATCTGGCCTTGGGCTGGGTTCAGTTTCCTGAGCTGATACAGAGCGTACTGGTTCTCTTTCAGGGACGGCTGATCGGAGTTATAGTGAGTTTTTCTTAAAATGACAAAGAATTAAGAAAAATGAAAAAAAATATAAAATGCAGCAACTTTTAATTATGTTAAAAGTCTGTTTGTTAGGGTACTAGAGGATAGAGGTAGCTGTCATGTCATAGGCGCCAGTGTGTTCCATCACAGGTAAGATCATCTTGCTAGAGAAGACCAGAGTAACCCTTAACTAGCTGCCAACTTCAACTTTCGCACTGTAGGTAAAATATCATCCAGGTTACAGATCTCTGAAACAGAACAAAAAGCAAAACAGTAAGGTGTGTGTATTGAGAACACCTCTGAGTGCAGCCAGAGTTCTAAGATGCTAGAAATACAGCTAGCAAATAAAATAAACTCCTCACATTTTGTAATGCTTTTGGAAAAACCTCTCAATTCAGCTTATCTTACGAGTAATATGATTGACTCTGTACAACCCCTTGTTCAATAAAAATGATGTATTTGGGTCACTCTCTGAAAAAGATGGAAAAAGAGTGAGGCAAAAGTTGGCACCTTGCCTCACATCCTCCTTGTGTTTTAGTACACCAGCAGTAAACAAAACGTGTGTTAGCTATTTAAAGTTTTAGGATGAAGTGTTGGCATGAAGATAATTACAACTGTTGCAAATATTACTCACCTAGAAGACAGAGCAAATCTTGAATGAGAGCTTGAAATGGTGGAAAGAAGCACTCGTGTTCTTCTAACTTATTGATTATACTGAAAGGTGCAAACAAGACTGTCAGATAAAAGGTGCCAGGACATTTTTAATTCATGTCTTTGCTAGTCTGTCATACTATGCCATGACTTTCTAATAATGCTGCTGCTTAATAGCATATAAAACCATCTACACCAAAATGTGGGTTTAAGTTCTAAAACTTGTAGCCAACTATTAGCTGTCAAAAGAGGAAGTCTAATTTCACTCTTCATGCCCTACATACATCCTTTCCTCCTTACATGGCACAAGGTGATTTTTGGACTGGAACATCAGTTTGTGTATGCTAAATATACTGCCTGGGGGTGGGTGATATAACTGCCTTAGAGGTGGAGCAGGAAATGTTTGACAAGCAGCCATTCCCTAGCTAAAACTGTGGTGAGTGCAGGAAGGCTGAGGGAGTCGGTATCACTAACTCAGCATGTGTCAGGCTCCCTATCTGCCTCTGTGTTAGTGCATTTGTGGAGCACAGGCTGAGTGTGAGTTCATATAGTCTGCTACCAAGTGTGTGTATGTGATCATCTGCTGAAGATACAACAGAATTTGTCCAGCTCCCAGAGTATTTGCAGTCAGCTTGAGGCAACTCTCTTAACAACTTGTACATTACAGCTGTAATCTTGCAACACTTTCTCCTCCCTACCCACATGCAGTATTTGCTTTGTCTTCTTATGCAACATGCATCCTATGGAACATTATTTATCACCTCATCCGTGCAAGCCAAGGAAGGGTTTTAGAATCTTCTGACTTTTCTCTCTTCCTCCTTTATCCTTTTGAAAATATTCAGGATTTGTTTCATGGAGGATGGTAGTAACTCCTTTACTGCTGCAGCTTGCTGACTTTGTAACCAATAAGTGAAGCTTCTTTCAGTATCCATTCTAGCCTGTTCTCTCAATTACTAGATTTGATGTTGGCAGAAGGGCCGCTGGTGGAGCAGCCACACATACCTGTGGATGTCCTGAGTCCCCAGAAGCTGCTGTACCTGCTCAGTCACGTTCTCATTAATTATGTCACACAGTTTCCCAACAGTATCCACTACCACAGTGGGTGGAGCCGAGCTGTCTATGGAAAAACAAACGCTTCATGTTCTTTGTAACAGTGTTAACAGGATTTTTTTTTGACACAATATAGTTCTTGCAGGTGCCCAGATTTTATTTGGTTTTCCCACACCTAGGCATACAAGTTCCACCATTCACACAAAACTAAGTGCCTATGGTCAGAAATAAACTAATGTTAGCTAAGTTTAGCAGCATAAGACGGAAGTTTCTGAGGACTGGACATAAATACACTAGAATGAATCACTGAGGAGAAATCTACAGCAGAGGCCGAGTTATTCTTTCTATAACTTGTTATATTTAGAGTAAATAGTCAAGAATTAAATCAATTTCCTCTGTTACTCCTTTGCTCTGCCTCCCTCGTATTCCTCAGCAACTACCAAAGGCTTACAAATAATGGGGATTTGCTATTTAAACTACCAATTGACCTATTTTTATCTTTCCAGTGAAGAATATACATGGTTTACACATTTCCTATCATCTCACCAAATTTTCAGTGGAGAGATGAGGCCTTTGGTTGTCTCCTCCCTTTGGAAATGGTGTGAACAAATGGTAGGTGGCAAGTCTTTACCTAGTTCCAGGAGCTCCTGGAGATTTCTCATGGTGTTGGTCATTTCCCCAAGCTTTGTGTAAACCTCATGCATTCGTGGATAAATGCCACTGAGAGAATTCACATCAAACAACTTCTGGAAGTGAGAGACTATTGCTAACAGGGTTGATACGGATGGTGTCTGGCTGTTCTGTAGCAAAGAGAAGGAGAGACTCATCAGTGTTATTGCTTAACAAAGCAAGGATTCTTTTAAATAGTAAACATTCTTAAAACTAGTCTATGAAGAAAAATGGGTGTCACTGCCCTTATTAAACCATGGCATTTCAAATATTCTCAAATCTGAAGACATACTGAAAAGAGAGTTTTCAGACACAAATATCCAGCAAACTAAAAAAACTCTGAAGTTTTCCTCTCTGTTGCCTAGCAAGTACATTTATGTATTCTCAATGCTGACTGAGAAACAGACAGAACAGGATAACCTGAAACTACAGGGCAATGCAAATTCCTTGCTGGTCAAATGACTTTGATTAAAGCAGTCCTCCCCGAGGTGAATTTATCCATTATATTAAAATAGTCCCTGACTATTGAATGTCTTCCAACAGCTATTTGGTAAACCCCAGGAGGCTTTCAAATGCAAAAATCTAATCACTGTGCTAAGACCACATTTGAGATTTCCACAGTAACAACTTGTGATTATAAACCCCTGGAAGAATTACCTTTTCCTTATTTTCTATTTCTTCCAAAATGGCATCTACTATGAACTGGAGGTCTTCAACTCGTATGGACTCCCTGTTGTCTTGTGGATCTTCGGTGTGCCAGGGTGCCAATTCCAGAGACAGTTTTCTCAAGGACCTATGCAAATCCTTTTAAAAGACAGGAGAGGACACAACTTAATTTAGTAACTGCTTGAAGGTGTTCTTATTACAGAAACAGGCAGATTTTCCATTTCTCATATGCAAAAACATTCTTGTACTGGAGATAGTAAGGGTTTAGTTTTCATGGAACTTCAGCACAGTATCTTGCTTATGTTCTTAGAGCCTTGCTTAACCTGATAGTCTAACAATTAAAGTACGTCAAATATTAGTTTCAGTGAAATGAAAATGCTGGTCACAGAGAGTTTGGCTTTAACCAGAATTCCTTCACCTGTATTTCGATCAGAAAGCTACTGTTTGGGCAAGACAAAGGGGAAAAAGAGAATGGATCGTCATTAATGCACAAAGCACTTCAACTCTAAAATTTAAGTGCCTTCTTAGGCGGTGAACAAACCCATTTAGATGATATACCCAGAGGAATACCTCTGGTGTGTAGGAACACTGCACATTTTTCACCCACTGTGTTTTAAAATGGCATATAAATAGCAGAAACATTTTTAAAATTTAACACCAAGTCAGGTAATAACAAAAGCTGCACACAGAAAAAAACCCTACATATAGGAAAGGACCAAGGAGGGGTCACTGCACTACAGGAAGAATATAAAACCAAGTACAATAATGCATTACCTTCAGGGCCATTAGCTGATCTGCCCACATTTCTATAGTAAGTGGAAGGTGCTCAAATCCACATTCCTGCCCGTTCTCTTTAATGTAATTTTGCACTGGCCCTTTACTGCACCTGTATATTAACGCAGGAGCTCTTGGGCTTCGCAAGACAGAATCAATATGGGACAAAACCTTCAGCAACAAATAACAAATGTTATTGTTCAAATATGTACGACATTTCATAATAAAATCCCTCTCTACCACAGTCATGATGGTCTAAATGTTAAATCACAAGTAGCTCCAATAAGTTATTATCAATGAATTTTACAGAAGCATTCAATATGTAATACTTTCAAAGATTTAAAAATATACTAGCTGGAAGATACATAAAAGCAACGCAAACATATTCCCCTTTGGGGATAGGTAACATTTATACACTTGAGGCATTGTTCTTTTCACAGTTTACATTTTGCTAAGTTCTATTATGTTTGCTTTTTTTTTTTTATTCAAAGAAAAATAAAAGCCACTCTCTCCTCAGGCATGTTTAAAACAGTAACATAAGGATCTGTACTGCACAAGACCTCGAACAAATCCCCTCTCCTGAAAAGACCTCAGCTAAATCATTCATTTGATGTTTCCCAACCTAGTTTCTGCTTTCATGCTGTATTTTCAGGTAGTTTACACTAAGATGTAACAACTAAGAAAATTAAGAACAAGCCTACATTAACTGCCAAACCCAGAACATCACGCATCTCATGTGGAGGACTTCAAATGAACCCTTAGATTCAAAATAGCATGCTTCAGTTTACATGCTTAAACAAAACCCGTGTGCTACATTTCACTGTAGTAATAGTGCTAGATACACACAGCACAGATCAAATCTGCATACCTTTAAGTACTGCTGGCAAACTGCCTGCAGCCTATCCACCCCTGCGATACTCTCAGATTCTTTCTTGTCTTCTGTTCTTTCTCCGGTACTACTCCCCGAAGATCTACATGCCAAATACATATAGTGGGTTACATAAGTAGCCTTATGAGGAGGTACTACTTTCAACTTGATTAAAGAACCAGGTATGAAGTACACATACACCTACAAAGTAAAAATCTTCATTATATGACACCTGCCAATAGAATTCCATCAAACCAAGCTAGCTGAAAAATGTAATACTTATGTAAGCATCATTAATTTATCTCCAGTCTCCAGGCTGAGGTTATTCCAGAATGCATGCTGATTTAGAAGGGACACAACCAGCTGCACAGCTGTTTTGTTACACAGGTTCTACTATGGCTGAAGACTTAAAATCCAGAATTTTACTCAAAAGGGTCAAATGCCATGCTCACAGTGTTTATCTGCTTGAACATCTTTCCTGGCTTTCTATACATAGCTCGCTATTCTTCTTGTGAAATCTGATATGACTTTCTATAACTACCATTAAATCCTATCCACTGCATAAGAGAAAAGACCATATAAATATACCTTATGTAAAATGAACAACATTTTTAAAGTTTAAGCAAGGGATGTCTTTTTCAGACTATAAAATTTTTATCATTCAGTATACACATGCACAGATGATTAAGTGAAATTACAGATAAAAACACTGTCAATACTGGATTTCTAATACCTTCAAGGTATTTTCTTAGTAATGTTTCAGAAAAAAACAAAGTCAATTTCTAAGAATAATATGGACATAACTTCAGTGGCTGCAATGTTTTGTCAACTCATACTTTCTCATTCATAATCCACAATGTAACCAGTAGATTTCTTTACAGCTCATGGAAGCAACAAACACCACAGTTTGGTCCTGTCCATATGGCAACTCAAATTCAATCCAGAAAGACAAAATAAAATAAGAAACACTGCTGTGCCCCCCAAAGAGACCACACCATCATTTCAGAGATTCACAGTGTGTCTTTGGAGATACAGTAGCATTTGCCAGGCTCCCAGAAATGGGGATAAGGTACACGCTTTATAAGCTGCTATCTACGTTACAGGGTGCAGAGTATCTTTGCCTTCAGATGTTCAGAGCATTCATGGAAGTTACTGAAGAAATATACTTACTTGATAGTTTTCTTTAAAGTTTTCTCTAGTTTCTTCACTTGGTGCTTGTAAAGTTTTAATTCCTGTGCAGTTGGTCTGTTAGCAAGAAAAAGTACCATATTGTATGTCTTGCATTTGAAGGTAACTATAAAACTCAGCCAAGTGAAAGAGTAAGCAAGCTCTGCCACTGCCACAGCAGCATTCTGGAAATGAAATTCTGCAGCATTTCCACATGGTAAGAGCAATAAATGGCAAACTAACCATCAGCAGTTGTTGTTACTAACAGCGTACAGAGGGAAGGGTGACTGACATTTCTTATTTCTACATATCACTTTAAAAGGCAGATTCCATACTACACTTTTACAATGATGGTGCTTTTGGCTTCTGTCTCTGTAAAGCAGTCTGATGAAGTGCCCTTGCAAAGGATGATGCTTATCCTTTCTCACCTTGTTTCCAAATCTTTCTTGAGATTTATATTTTCAAGCAAAAGCTGTTCATTCCTGGTTTTTGTTTCAATAAGCTGTTTCTGGAAAGACTGCAACATAGGCTGTGTTACTTCTCTTATTTCACTCATTCCATAATCAACAAGTTTTAAAATTTAAAGTATGTATATGTTAAGAAGAGCTCCCAATTGCCTATATAGCAAGACAGTGTGGAAAAGGAATTAGTCAACTAAGATCAAGAGCCTGCTGCATTAGACGACAGTTGGAGAACCTGTGATTAAGGTTATACAATCCCCAAGCAAAGACAACTCACAAAATAGCACTGAATCTTTCATAAAGACAGTGAACCCTACCCAGACAGTGTGCAAGTTAAGAACAACACATGATAAGAACAAGGGGATAGGCATCAAATAGATGTATGTTTCTACATGGCATTTTAAGAGTTACCATTTAGAGATCTGCATGGACTTATTCTTAGCAGTTCCATACCGTGAGCAGTGCTCTGTAATTAGGAGTAGCATCTAGATTTAAGAATTCTTCCTTGCTTTTCACTTCTTTCTGTACCTGATCTTCATCTTTTTTATACTGCCTATTGGGAAACATAAACTGTTTCAGTTTACTGTAATTTGATTACCTCAAAAATCTATGTTGGTTTAGTTAGCAGCATATATGGTAATATTTCCATAAACTGGGAAGTAAATAGATTAGAAATTTTGCCCTAAGATCCAGTGCTCTTCTCTATTGTTTCTGGGAAGCTGTTTCATGTACTAATTAAGTACACTTATTCCTTGAGAGAAATTCCCATACAAGCAAATCACATTTCTTTGTTCATGATAATAATAATCTCAAATGATAGGAACGCCTCAGGTATCTCAGCTTGTTGCTTTGTACCATTTAGGCTCCACGATAAAGCTGAAAAGCTGGCAGCCTGTTTGTCTAGGGAGATGAGTCAACTGAGCGCAGCTAATGCAGTAGTTCTGCCTGTGAACCATGGGAAAAGAGGAAAGGAAGAATAAAAAAACAACTTCCTAGCTGTCCCAGCCTTCTGCATGACCAGCTGCTTAGCCTGACTGACAGTTATTCCCTGGATGAAACCAAACTTCCATGACCATTACAATTCTTTGCTGTTTCTTATATGCTAGTGACATCTGGAACACAGAAAATTTACCATTGTAAGATTAAAGAACAGTAAGGAGTACGAAAATTTTGAACAGTAGAACCATAAGGTACTAGAAGAGACCTACCTCAGCTCCTTTTTCATTTCACTAATTTGAGATTCATAATAGTCAATTAGACAAAGGAACCTAAAGAAAGGAAAATGGCATTACTGAATCTCAGATATTCTCCAAAACCAATAAAAATCATGCCTGGAACAGGCCAGTTTGTACATCTGCACTATGCTCCAGAAGTGACAGCTTCAAGAAGGTTCTCTCTCATACCAAACATGGTCACAGTTTTCCAGAACAGAACAGACATTAACTACGCACTAGTCTAAAAAGCAGCAAAATTATTCAAGATGAGAAAAAAGCTAAATTCTCCTGACAGCCTTATCATCTTGTGACTGTTTCCCCAGCAAGCGTAACAGTGAGGCTCAGTCTTGAGTGCTACAGCTCTGCGACCATTGCAGGAGGTGAAAGCACAGGTCACACACAGCCGAGAACATCAGTCTCTGAAGAAACTAAATATGCTTTCAGAGTGGTTGTAAAACCCAGACCCACAAAAAACTGAACAGCTGAGAAACTGAATTTCCTCTTGAGCATTCTGAGATTGCTTGTTTTGGAGAGACACGTGAGAATGCACAGGGAACCAAACTCAGTGATCCTCCCTCTCATACAGTGAGGGCATAAGAAAGATGGTGTGCACACACAATCCCCTTTAAATGCTACCCAGGCCTAGGAAATCAGCTGACAGCAGCCCAATAAAGTGTGGCTACCCGGGGCCTAAGAGCTGTCAAATCTCCGATTACAGCAGAACTATGGAGATCTTACTGCAAGAGACACAGGCTTGGAATACTTGCAGAACTTTCCCTGAAGTACCTGGGAAGCCTTGCAGCAAACCTTCAGTCTGCAGGTGCAAAGACCACTTTCCAGAACTGGAAGGCCCCTTTCTGGTGAGGCTGGGGATAGTCTTTGTTGTTTTCTTCTTTGGTTGTTTTTTAATTTATATTTTTAGAGTCCCGGGATGAGATCACCCGAACACATACGGAGCTCCAGAGTAGAGTGGACCATTCCCTTCTCTTTGCTGACACCTAGCGTGTATGTTTTGAATTTCTGCCATGATTTTACAAAGCTCGCATTGTTTAAATCCCTGTGCTGATGTACCTGTGCAAGAATTCATATTTCAGCCTGCACTCCTAAGGTCTCCAGCCTTTTATTTTTTCCTAAATATAAATATTGAGAACAGTTACTTTAAAATCTTTCTTCATTTAACGTTATAGGTCGCTCACCAACGTAAGAAAATTGCTTACTGCTGATCTAGAAGAGACTTGGGAGCTCTTTTGCAAAAGCGACAAAACATTTTATTTTGAGTGGCAACACGCCGCTGCTCCTCCAGGCCAACTCTGCACAGTTCCGTCTGCAAACGGGCAATTGTCTCTTCCTGTTCTTGCAGCTTCTCCTGCTGCTGTTGATATTTTGCCTGTGAACAGATAATGGGAGAGTTACAAAATTATTCTAACCCACAAACTGAAGACAGTACTGTACGTGTCCAGGTAGGCACTTGTTCCCAAGGAGGCTCAGTTTCAGCCACACCGAACAGGCAGCGAAAGAATGATACAGGTATTTTTCAAAGTTACTGCTAGAAAATTCTGTACAGATTGAAAAATCCTAGCTATAAACAATGTACTAACTCTATGGCCCAGAACTCATGCTTGTTTTGATCAACGTAAATATTTTTAGAGCTTTTAAAACAAGTCAGAAGTTTGAATCCTCAGACAGCACTACCTGAATTACCTGTGAAGCCTGCTGATCTTTCTGAAGTTCTCTGACTTGATTCTGTTGCTGGCAAACTTTAGCTATTGTCTCATCTTCCAGCTGGCAAATTTTGGACTTAATGTTTTTCACCACATTTTCCAAATCATTAGCCCGTTGTTCTTGTCGTGATGCCCAACCGCTTCCCTGACGGATCTCATCTCTGAAAAAACAAATAAATCCTTAATTTAAACTAAACTAATTTCACTAAAGACAGTGAAGAAAGCAAAGGCCTTACAATATTATCTGATGACGCTCAGTAATAGCCTGTGGCAGCAGGTATGGGAAGCAACAGCAGATGAAATAGCAGAAGAGCACAAAAGGAACCAGGCAAACATTGCTGCATATTGGCCAATAATCTTAGGAAAACAGTTTTAAGCTGATGGTGTAACAACAGCTCCACCTGTCAGGAACAGGAGACTGATAGAGCTCCTTCCACTGCTTATCCTTACCTAAGAGAACGATTGGTCTCCATAAGCCCCTGCATCATTTTCTGCTGTCGGTCAGTGTTTTCCACCAGTGTTTTTAACGCAAGTCTTATTCCTAGAGAAGACTGACTGTCTAAGACAATCATATCTGGAGATACATAAAATAAGCAAAGTCATAATGAAAGGCTTTTAATCATAGAATCATAGAACAGTTAGGGTTAGAAAGGACCTTAAGATCATCTAGTTCCAACCTCCCTGCGATGGGCAGGGACACGTCACACTAAACCATGTCACCCAAGACTCAGCCCAGCCTGGTCTTGAACACTGCCAGGGATAGTATCTGAAGATCACATCTCGGCTACCCTTTGGAAGTGGCAGCTTTAGAGATGCCTATGAACTTAGGCTTACCATTTCAAAATACAAAACCTTGTACAATTAGCATTTCCTTACCTGCTGTATTTCTGCAGCTTTGGGGGGCAGCAAGACTCACTGGTTTCAACCCATGACGCATTAATAGCTTATTTAGGTTTTCCCATTCAGCCTTCTCCTGCTGCAGGTGGGAGGAGACAGAAACCCAAGTTCTCGAAATCAGCTCATGGTCTCCTGTCTTTCCTATTGTGCAGGCAGCAGCAAATACCAAATGCTCCCAAATAAAAACAAACCAACCCCAAGCCCCCAAAAGCCCCAGTCATGTAGAAGGGCTTGTGAGACATTCCAATAGGATCTGAAACAAGTACTGGTGTAAAGTGTATTTAACAATACCCAGAGCACCCAGTTTCCCTCATCACTCCTAGGCTGTGCTATGAGTGAAAGTTTACAACAGCCAGCCCTTGGTCAACCCCAGCGCACCAGGGGTGCAGCCGGTCTCAGACCCCCGCCCTAGCCGCGGGAGAAGCCCCCAGAGGGCGCGAGCTCCCGCCCTGGGGTTTACTCTTTGTTTTCTTTCTGTTCTGTTCTAACTACCGAGCAGTAACAACATCCGCCTCAGGCTCGCCACGGTACCTCTATCATGGCGTGGGCCGCCCGCTCCCGGATCGCCAGCAAAGAGGGCCGGGCCCACCGCCGCCGCCTGCAGACAGCCACCGGGATACAGGACAGCGAAGAGGTTGGTCAGCGGGACAGGCAGCCTCGGCAGGTCCCACTCAGCGACGGGGCCCAGCTTCGTACAGAACTGGCTGCGGCGGGAAGAGCAGCGGGCCGGGGAAAGCGGTAACGGCCCGCCCGCGCCGGCGGGGCGGGAAGGAGGGAGGCGGGCGGCCGCGGGGCGGCGCTGGCCGCACGCCGCCATTTTGCGGCACGGGGAGCCGAGGGGGAGGAGAATCCCGCGCAGGTAGGAGCGGCGAGGTGCGGGGATGGCTCCTCTGCTCGTTCGGCTGCCCGCCTGCGGCGGCCCGATCCGTTCTCAGGCACCGCGGAGCTCAGTCCCTTTCCGCCCGGACACTACCTGGCGGGAGGCCGGGCCCGCGCGGGTGGAGGGAGCGTCTCCCGGGCTCCTTGGAGACCGCCAGGCCGTTAGAGGAGGAGGAGGAGGAGGAGGAGGTAGGAGAGGAAGCAGACCTCGTGTCCGGTGGTGTGTGCTTTCGCCTGTTGCCGCTGCCCCGGCCCGGCGGAGGAGTGGGTCGAGATGGGGCCGTGTTGCCGGAGGGTCGGGCAGCCTCTTGTCTCCGCGGTTATGGAGGATCAAGGCGATCGCAGTAAGCTGCTTGACGAGGGTTTAGAAGCGTGGCTGTCAGAGCTTAGATAAAAACAAACAAACCCCCCTAATCTTTGCTGGCAGTAAATGTGGGTGGTGTGGAGAAACTTGCCGTCTGTGTAATTCATACACTTGCTAGTGCACCATCCCTTTTTGTCTGTTACCAGGCATGGATTAAATGGATGCAGAGTGGTAATCCTAGCCTAGTTTTCAGAACAAGTCATTATGGATAAAGAAGTAAATCTCATTTTGCACTGCTGACTTGGTTTAACGGAACATGCAGAGCGATGCCTGGCGTTTGGCAGTCAGTACAAACCCGTTTCCTTGGATGGGAGCCAGCGAGGGGACGTGGGAGGGCTGGCTGCAGCAGGCAGTGTACGGCTCTCCTTTCGCACCCGGGGTACCCGCTGCCCTTCAGAAGACATAGAGCTGGCCTAGAGTTTGAGTTGATTTCTTAAAAAAGAAAACAACAAAACCAAAACTATGTTGTGGGATGCTTCCTCACCCCTGTGGTATTGATCCTAAATTACCTGCTAGTATTCATGCAGCAGGGTTGCATCCTGCCGGGGGTAATGCCATCGCTGTGGGTAGCCTTTAGACATGCTCCATGTGCCACCTCTTCTGGGGTTTCTTTTTGTACCTGAGGCCACTTTTTGTGTTGATTAGTTGGCAGGGAGAAGCTGGGTCTGGCCTGAAAGCGTGGCACCCTTTGAGAAGGGAAGAGAGAAGTGCCAAAATAAGAATAGCTTGAAAGCAGCCCTGAAGTGTAGGACTTGGGCGTGTTGATTGATGAGAAGCTCAGCATGAGCTGGCTGTGTGCGCTTGCAGCCCAGAAGGCCAACCGCGTACTGCGCTGCATTGAAAGAAGCATGATCAGCTGGTTGAGGGAGCTGATTTCTGACCCCCTCCTCTGCTGTATTCAGCTCTGGGGCCCCCAAAGGAAGAGGGACGTGGACCTGCTTGAGTGAGTCCAGAGGAGGCCACGAAGATGGTCTGAGGGCTAGAGCCCCTCTGCTGTGAAGACAGGCTGAGAGAGCAGGGGTTGTGCAGCCTGGAGAAGTAAAGGCTCCAGGGAGACCTTAGAGCAGCTTCCAGTGCCTAAAGGGGTACAAGAAACCTGGAGAGAGACTTTCTACAAGGGCATGTAGTGACAGGACAAGGGGGAATCGCTTTAAACTGAAAGAGGGTAGATTTAGATTAGGAAGAAATTCTTCCCTGTGAGGGCAGTGAGACACTGGAACAGCTTACGCAAAGAAGTGGTAAATGCTCCATCACTGGCACTGTTCAAGGCTAGGTTGGATGGGGCTTGGAGCAGCCTCGTCTGGTGGAAGGTGTCCCTGCCCATTGCACGGGGGTGGAACTGAGTGCGCTTTAAGGTCCCTTCCAACCCAAATGATTCTGGGATTCTATGAAATATACCCATCCTGACTTCCATCATGTGCCAGAGGATGTGAACCTTCAGAGAAACCAATCCTTAATTTTAGGAACAATCCAAACAATCTCACTGTGAGAATTAAATCCTTGGATCCTTAGAAAAGTTTTACAAACAGTAAAACCTAATTTTCAGTTTATGAAGAGAAATGTGTGTACTGACAAAACCACAACTACAGTGTACTTGATCATGTTTTAAAATAGGAGCTTAGGACAGAGTGAAGGAGGTTTAGTTTTTAAATGCACTTCTGCTGGTGCATTTAAAATGGGTCCTCTGTTCTGCTGAAGAGAGACCCCAGAACTTACAACTTCACTTTTAATTAATTTTTTACTGAAAAGTGCAATTCATAAAAAAATAGCTTATTTGCACTTACTTAAATTATGCTTACTGATATGCACAGACAATGCAGATAGCAGTGGTTTAATAAAATGAGTTAGTTGGCCTTGTTGCCTGTGCTATATTGCTTTCCCAAAAGTGGCAACAGTCCCTGGTTTGCTTCAGTTTGTGACCGAGATGGGCAGCCCTGGAATTGGTTCCTGTTTTGGTCAAGTTCTTTGTTTTTAAGCTCTTGCTCACAAGTTAGGGAAACCATTTTTCCATCAAGTAAATGAGAAAGTGCTGATAAAACTAGTATAAATTGCACCTTCTGATTTTGTAAAAGAATACTTACATTTGCCATTCTGTCTTAAGAGGAAATAAATATATTTGTATGTCATCATATATATGGCAGTGCATGATAGTTCATGACACTTTAAAAGATGTCCTTTGTCTTGAATGGAGTAAACGGGGGAAATCTAGGCCTCAACGCTTCTCTGCTGCTATTCTGCTCTTCTTTTATTTCTTGCTGCTAATTGGATTAATAGGTTACTATGGCATCCCGTGAGGAGATTACTATCTGTGAAGATGAAGTAAGGTAAAAAATCACTGTGGTATGACTTTAAACTGAAAAAGAGGTATTGTGCTACGGGCAGATTTGGAAAGATATCCATAGTCCCAGTGGTCACTTCTGACTGTATCTGAACCTTAAAGATTGCTTAAATGAAAGGATTATCTTGCCAGATCTCTGCCTTTGTGTTTCTGTGTGCAGAGTTGCATTGCTGAATGATGTACGTAATATATAAGAAAGATGAAAGAGAAAGGTGTTAAAACAGGTAAAAGCTGAACTGGTCATCCTGACTAGTTTTCAAGTTTAAAATGCTAAAACACTTTCTCAGAGACCAATCAAAATACTGTATTTTAATGCCTGCCAAGACATTGCAGAACTGTCCAAGAGCATCTGAATTCCAAGTGTAATTTTGTAACCATACTGTCACCTGAAGAGGAAATTATAGAGGTTAGATGGATATATATATGTCTTTGTATGGTGTTTGTCAAAGTGAGTCTATTTAAGTGTCTGTTTATATTTTGTGATATTTTGTCACATTTAAGTGTTTGAAAACATGAAAAAAGAAGCAATTATTAGGCTTATTCTTTCAAGTCTCACTTTTCATTTGTAAAAAGTGACTTGCCCTGATGCAGTAAACTTTGAAGTATAAACATCAGTAATTTAACTCTTTCAATGACGATTTACTTTGTTGTTTTTTCCATAGGTCTCTCTACAGCCACTTAGAGAAGATGACAGATTTGGTGGCTGTTTGGGAAGTAGCTTTAAGTGATGGTGTTCATAAGATTGAATTTGAACATGGAACCACTTCAGGAAAACGTGTTGTCTATGTTGATGGAAAGGTGAAATTGCTGTGTCCTCAAAATCCACTATGATACAGATTATATAAATGCACTTCCATGCAACAGGCATCAGAACAAACAAAAAGACTAATTAATAAATGCAAGTGAGGTGTATTCAGTTGATTAACTTTAGCTGATTTCTTTTTTCAGTTACAGTTAAGGTATGAATATTCATGAAGTGCTTTGCTGTCCTTGGGCAGAGGCACTGTAGATACGGAAAATACCATGTATTCATTCTTTCTGAAATAATAGCTAAGTACTGGGCTGTTTCCCAAGTTCTAGTTAATTTTTCTTACACTAAAACATGCATTCATGTTTTATCAGTTAATACCCATTGCCTTTGTTTTATTCTGCAGGAAGAAATAAGAAAAGAATGGATGTTTAAATTAGTGGGTAAAGAAACATTCACTGTTGGAGCATCCAAAACAAAAGCTACTATTAACATTGATGCCGTCAGTGGCTTTGCATATGAATATACTTTGGAGATCAATGGGAAGAGTCTCAAGAAGTATATGGAGAACAGGTCAAAAACAACCAATACTTGGTTACTGACTCTGGGTGGTGCAGACTATAGAGTTGTTCTAGGTAAGTAAACACTGAATGACTTTGTGTTGCTGCCTTTGAGTAAACTTGTACACATTTAATAACTGATAATGAAGAGAAAGCACAGTTCAGTGACTAGAACTGTTGCGGCGTGAAATCCTAGGTCTGGAAGTTTAGGATTAGATACTAAATACAGCTTGAAAAATAATGGTCATGTTACACCTGTGTGAGCCTACGGCAGCATGGTCTAGATTTAAAAAAAAAAAAAAAAACAGAAAAGAAAGCCCTAGCAAGACAGTTGTCCAGGTAAAGCATGTTAAATAACACTGCTGACCTGGAAGAAGATGTTAGAGCTTCACTGGATGAGCAACACTGAAATAATGAGCAGAAATTCCTGAATTTTTCTTTCTTCAAATTTTTCAATTTAAGAATGTCATAATATCTCTGACAATATTCTGAACAACCCAGAACAGTAGGCAGGGCTAGGGAGAGGTAAAAACTTATGTTGATAGCAAAAGTTGTTTGCCAGTTGATGCCAGAGCCTCTCATCTCTCCAGTATGAGAACAAACCCTGTAGCCTGGGTACTATGGATAACAAGGAGCTTGTTTTGGGAACTGAAAGTAAAATTCCACAGTAAATTTTTAAAATTCTTAGATCTTCTTGTCTGTAACGGAAAAAAATATCTTGTTCTTTCTACTTTTTGTTTTCTGTTTCCTTCACAGAAAAGGATACGATGGATGTGTGGTGCAACGGTCAAAAAATGGAAACAGCGGTAGGTGATCATCTCCAAAGGTTTTTCACAGGCTGTAGCTAGGTAACCAATGCTTAGCAAAGTGAGCTGCAGAGGGGCACATTACCTCACTTTACCACAGAGTATGAGCGTACACCTGGACAGGCAGTACACTATGAGTTTGTTCTGAATGATCTTCACTGTGTCTTACAGCTGACAATATTTGAATTAGGATGCCAAACATTAGCTATTTAAGGGTAAACAATGCTTTTGTTTACACTTTTTATACAAGCAAAATAAAACTGAGTCAGTTGTCCAGGGTTTTCACAAGAAAACCTTCATGGGAATTGAAGGGACTTGAGCGTAATGCAGAGTGTAGAGCCACCTCCTCCAAATCTGCTCATGTTAGCAGTGACTGAAAGTTAAAAACATGTAGTCTGGTTTTTTTTTCCATTTAGAGATGGTCCCTAACACAGGGCTTAATAGTCTCACTGGAACAAATACAAGTTTTTGTCTTTCTGTCACATCTGCATCATTTGTTAGATTAGGTTGATGGCTAGAAGGTTTACTCTATTTGGTGTCTTTTTATACTGTGATATAAATGGCTTTTAATATGCATACTGTGCGCTTGGTTGAGGAGCCACTGGCACGAGGATACCATCTGCAGGCTTATGACTGAATGCCTCTAAGTATCCCGCGTGGGCACTTATTGTGCTGTTGTGTCATCAGTCGCTTGTGATTGACCCTGGAGATGACTGTCTCGTTCAGAATGTGTGGGTGAAGGTCTTCCGAATCTTTGTCACCAAAGACAGGCCTTCCTCAAAGGAGAAGGAAAACTCCTACCTTCAAACCCGGACTGATGAAGCCTTGTATGGCCTTCCATCAGAGAAGGACACTCTTACAAAACCTACGACCTGTGGACTTTGCTGTCACTGTCCTAGCTCGCTAGGCCGTGTCAGTTAAACCTCAGGTGTAAAGGGGTGGGGCCAGTTCTGCGCAAGCTGCGCTTCACCTAAAAAATCCACTGCGCAGGGTGGAAGGGCTTACTCTCACTTGTCTGTATGGACAGGCGAGGGTCGAAACGCTGGGTGACAAGGTGCATGGGAAGCTGCAGATCCAACCTTGCATGCGGGAGAACCAGCACATGGGTAGCTCGAGATTACTCAGGAGATGACAGTCCAGGTCAGACACTCCCTGATTGTCTAAGCTCCCTTTTTTCGATTTGCATACCCACTTGCCCTTGGTCATCGTGCTTGTTGTAAGCATGGTTAAAGCCCTTCCCAAATCTTGGCTCGCAAAGCCAAGCCATCAATATGCATGCTATGTAGGCTTCCCCATCCTTAAACAATGTGCTTTCTCACTAGAGAGTTGTCACTGTGTTTACAAGTAAGCCCCTGGATGAGTACAAACTGTAAAATCAACAGGTTTGCTGTGCTTGAAAACAAGATGAAGATTCACCAAGTGTTTCTGTGGTAATCAGTGGAAGAAACATCTTCTTTCAGTGAATCAGAATTTCTGTTCTTGATGTTTCTCAGTCTTTCCCATGATGTAATAAATGCGCTAGGAGATATTCTTGCAAGCTACATGTACAGGTTTCATTGTCAAACTGTGCTTGCTTTAGAGTAGCACACAGATTTTTCTACCCTCCCAAAGGTCATGACAAAAACACAGCCATCAGTCGCAAAATCTATAATGGGAAATAACGTAATTGCAGCAGGAGCTGCGTATCCAAATCACACAACTGCTACACTCCAGTCAGGAATCTCTTCATCCTGCTGTAGGTGGCACCACTGAATACTTCATGTTTTACTGCCACTTCAGCCTCAGTTGTGTGGTACTTACTGATTGTACTACACCACTCAGAAGGAAACTTTCTTTCCTTTTTTGTTTCACTGGCATGGATCAACGATACTGATTCACAAGCTCAGTTTTACCACTTCTGATTATGTGAAATTTTGATTGCCACCTAATAGTCACAAATTTTTAACTGGGACACCTCAACACAGCCCTAGTCTGAGATTCCACTGTTCATCATTTGCACTGTATTTGTCACAGGTACTCACAGCTGCTGTAATTGTGGAAACCAGGAGCGATCTTGACCTTGGAAACAGTCTGATGCGCTTGAGCTTTTTACTTTACTAAAGTAGCACATGTCTGGTTTTATTCTTGTCTCTTTTCTCCCAGGGTGAGTTTGTAGAAGATGGGACTGAAACTCACTTCAGTGTTGGTGATCACAGCTGTTGCATTAAAGCTGTCAGTAGTGGCAAACGAAAGGAAGGAATTATTCATACCCTCATTGTGGACGACAGAGAAATCCCAGAGACTGTGGAGTAGCCTCCAGTTAACTGATAATTGTAGGACTAAGATAAGGAATTTTCAATTACTGTGGTAATTATTTTATTATGTACTACTTGGTACATCTGGTTTGTGCTGGGTTTATTTTCTAGTTTCTGTGTATGGAATTACTCTTTTACAGACCAGTTGAAAATTATTATATACAACCTCTTACGTGACCATTTTTAAAGAATTCTATGTATATATAAGTATATAAATATATACATTATATCACTAAGTGCAGAGAATACTGGTGAGCTTAAGTAGAAATTATATACTAGAAAATACCTCACTATAATAAAATGGAAGATAAATATTTGGTAAGACTGAATCCTTTAAACTGTGGTTGTACGTGGAGGGAGGAGGAAGCACGTGCTGGGCACTGGAGTAAGCTGTCAAAGTTTTCTAGTAATCATGTTTGCTATTAAAAAAAGTTGGTAATCAGTTAAAATTCACTTGCAACCTTACTGAAGAGTTCAGAGTTAGACTTTTATAACTTAATTTATTTTGGATGGTCCCTAGCACTGCAACCGTTAATCTTGGGAGTTGTGGGTGCAGTACAAATGTGCTGGAATTGACAAAATATTAGAATGGTTTGGGTTGGAAGGGACCTTAAAGCTCATCCAGTTCCAACCCCTTGCCATGGGCAGGGTCACCTTCCAATAGACCACTGTGCCGCATCCAGCCTAGCCTTGAACACTGCCAGGGATGGGGCACCCACATCTTATCTGGGCAGCCTCTGCCAGGGCCTCAGCACCCTTACAGAAAAGAAAGTTTTATTAAATGCTAATTTCATCTGTGTTTTGGGTTTCAAACTGCTCTCCATTAGCAAAGTGCCTTACACATGGCCGAAATGCTTAACATATGACGTTGTTAGTTTCTGGTAGTTTTATGTGAGTGCTTCTCCCCACATAATCACCATTTTAACCACAGGTGGCTTTTCAGTCTAGAAGCAGGCCCAATATTGACAGACAAGCCTTTGTTTCTGTATTACTGTTACAGCCCTGTAGGTGTTCAGTCAGGGCTGTAACTGATGGGTTTAGATGCTTCAAATTTGACAAATCTGGTAGTAGCTTTTAGTTGGAGGCAATAGATTTGTTTTGAACCCCGCTAACACCAGGCATAGCTCAAGTGTTAGTAAAGAAAGTTTCAGAGTACACAAGAGCTGAACTGAATCCCCTTTTACATTAGCATAAGTTATAGTAGCTCTTAGAATTTTCCAGTCACTGGATTCGGATCACTCCAGACCCAGCGAGGGGATACCTGGCTACAGGGATGACACTGTAATCTTTAAAAGATAACCAGTAAAGGAGATTAATTAAAAAGAAATTTCATGCTGTAGCTTGAATTAGTTCTCTACTATTCTGTAGCCTTTCAAAGAGATTCAGTGCCACTGAGAAGTTTGAAGTTCAGTCAATTTCTTAAGATTATATGGAAAAATAACAGGTTAGCCGATAGTATCAGTCATACTTTTTATTTTGAATACATATGTCTACAGTACTTGGAATATCTTAACTAATAAAAACTGTAATAGCAACTACTGTTAGAAAGCATGAAATATTGCCTCACACTTACCATAACTATGTGCATTTAATAGCATGTCCCAGAGTCAGAAATAGCTTTGACCTCATACATTTACATGTTTAAGTCAGAAGAAAAATAAGGAATCAAAGCACAACCAAGATTTCTTGGGTTTCACAAACATACAGAATATCTCAGATTAAGAAAATGTAATGAAAGAGTAACAACCTATGCAAACATCAGGTGTGTAGTCACATGCTAAGACCATTTTAAGGCATAAATGACCAGATAAATGTTAAACTGTATTTGATGCTTTTCCTTCTGCTTCCATTCACAGATAGTTTTGTTCTAACCTTCTTAACATATTGACTTACTTCATTTGTTTATGGATATTTCAGAGCACTTTGCACAAGGCACTTTGGTCACACCAAGAACATCCTCTACCCCAGAGTACCAGAAATACCAGACCCTGTTCGGAAGGGCTTCATAATAGCTACAGGTCTAACTAATTCTTATTCAGGATAGTGCTGGTTTCCTTACAAGCCAACAAATATCTTGGAAGGGCCTGAGCACTGTTGCAGATGACAAAGGTGTCAGGATTATTTACATCATCTACCAAGCTGTCATATACTTTAATGGCATCCCCCTCCACTGCTGGTGGCATAATACAAGATGAGTTGCCTTCAGTGTATAAGCCTGTTAGTACCTCAGCCTCAAACACATACATTTTAGAGTCTGTTTTCTGTGTGTTTTTACCCTCAATTAAACTTTTCGGGTTCTTTTTAAAGTAGATGCCAGCTCCATATTTTTGTTCTGGAAAAAGAAAGAAAAATTTTTAGAAGAATAAAAGCCTTTAACAATCGATTGTTGTGGGGTGTTGGTACTAAAAGTCTGCTTCTTGATACAGTATTACATGTTACTGCATTTACATTACAGCTGAATGTGTGCCATCCTCTCACAAATAAATATGCATTAAGTGGCTCTAATGCTAGCACTGGCCTCCCACTAGAATCACGAGCAGTGACAGCTGATGGCCATTCTGATTTAACTGCCGCTCCAGCGATGACCATTCAGATTTAACTGTTAATCCAGTGATAGAAACATCAAGATATAATGTATTTAAATAAACACTTCAGTCAGCGTGTACTAAGAACTCTGATAAGGAGGCAAGATTTTAATAATGTAAACTACAAAATAAAAGCTTTGAGATTTTCAAGAAGAATGCTGTATAAAAATGCTATTACTGTATGGCCTGGAAAAGTGCAAAGAAATTAAATGAGACCATCATCCTATTTATTACTTTGAAAGGGTGAAAATGTGCCACAGATGTATAGACAAGGAAAGGCAAACCTCCCTTTTTTGAACAGTTTATTGTCTGAGATCCCAGTTCTGCATTTGACCAGCAAAATACCAGACCCTTCACCTACTGCAGAATGAAGCACTAAGTGCTTATCCTTTCCACTTCTGGAAATGTCTGTCTACTACAATACTTCACAGACACCACAACTTTCTTCCTAAGCATACTCTACTTTGAATGGCAGTCTGCTCAGTCAAATTCTGACTGCATCTGATCTGAGCAGGGGGTTAGCCTAGATGACCCTCAGAAGTACCTTCCAGCCTCAATTAGTCTGTGATTCCTTTGAACATGTTTTAAAACTTCAAGCTGCAGCAAGTAGAGATGCTGACTTCTGACTTTAAAAAGTGACACAATAAAAGAAAACATGGACATGGCATTATGTCTATGTATATTCTGTCAGCAGTGTCTGCTAGGCTGGAATCCTGCTTGTCCTCCCAGAGCCTTGCTGACTTTACAGTATCAGGAAGGAAAATCTTACCACAGATAAAAGAAGTAAGCTCATACGACTCTAAATGCAGGTAAGAAACAGTTCTTGCTTAGGAATGACATTTTTTCTGATTTTAATCCAACTTTAGAACTAGTCAGTCACTATGTTCATTTTGATTAAAGATACCAAACCAAATTATTACCTGTTGGTGGAGAATACATCCTGTGAAATCCAGTCTGGCACACCAAGCTACAGAACTGCACCGGAACATACTGATACAATTTGTGTGTTATTTGATAGGTATACTGGTTTTCTTCTACTTTTTTTTTCATTTGTTGGAATGCAGCAGATAAAAGAGGATTATGTATCTTTTCAATCTGTAACATAAATAATAGTGTAGTATAAGCAAACAGAGACCAATATCCATGAAATTCATGAGTGCTCTTGGTCAGGCTATGTTCCATAGTGGCAGAACTTTTGATTTAGCTTAAAGGCACTGACCACAGAGCAGATCAGGTATTTGAAGTGTGCACAGAGAAAGAATCACGCCACTATTCCATGTCCAAGAAAAAGCAGACATGCTGCATTAGTGTCCTGGAATATTGTGCTCATTCTAACATACCAATCTCATGTTTCTCTAGAGTCCTACAAAGGAATATTTGAAGCATGAAATAAGATACAGAATATACAGTTAGAAGGACTTCTCAGAATTTAACCATACTTTTGGAGTTGCTCTATGTTTTAAAATACTTATTAGCAGTAAAGACTACATCTGTTTTAAGGATTAGGCTGATTTGATCTCAACTTTAAAAAGCAATACATTAAAATAGTTCACCTGAGTTTTTTAAGCATGTTTGGTTCAAATATATCAGCTGAGATTTTTTTTTTTTCCATGAATAGCCTCTTTACCTTGAGAACACAAAGCCCAGCTTTTTCAAACTCTTTCTCTCTGTCTTTAAATTCCTGAAGGTGTGATTCTACCAGTGAAATCTGGATGCATTCAGTAGTATTCGTAGTATTAGTAGTATTTGTCTTGTGAAGGTGTCCTGTTTGGCCTAGATACAAAAAAGGGCGTAAGATTTTCACAGGACATAATATTTGAGGTACAGGCAATGAGGAGGGATCCAGGGATACAGTACTTTAGTTTCGTAGTTTGGTTAAAAGAAATAATGTTAAATATTCTCTGAAGTAATACCAGAGGCTAATACTGAAAAGAGACTGATGATATATATATATATTTTCTGTATTTATATTAAAGAAACCAGAGAGAGAGAGGGAATAAAAAAAAACAAACAAACCCCAAACCAATTTATCTTCTCCATTACATCTCTCCACAGCCCAACTTTTATATAATGGTATCTGTATTGAATGACTATACAAACATGAGACAAAAATTGATCACTCAGTAGCTTTCTGTAATGCACTACTTCTATCAACTTAATCATAGAATGATGGAATGGTTTGGGTTGGAAAAGGCCTTAAGATCATCTAGTTCCAACCCCCCTGCCACTGGCAGGGACACCTACTGCTAAACTGTTGCCCAAGGCTTTGTCCAACCTGGCCTTGAACACTGCCAGGGATGGAGCATTTGCAACTTCTTGGGCAACCCATTCCAGTGCCTCACCACCCTCACAGTAAAGAACTTCTTCCTTATATCTAACGTGAACTTCCCCTGTTTCAGTTTAAACCCTTTGCCCCTTGTCCTATCACTACAATCCCTAATGAAGAGTCATCTCCAGCATCCCTGTAGGCCCCCTTCAGATACTGGAAGGCTGCTATGAGATCTCCAAGCAGCCTTTTCTCCAGGCTGACCAGCCCCAAATTTCTCGGCCTGTCTTTGTATGGAGGTACTGCACCCCCTTATCATCCTCAAGGAAAGTCAAGGACTGCAGAACATGGCCAAGGTTGGTTCTGCAACAGGGGTTCAGCTGCAGCTAAAAAAAGAGCTCAGCAAAGGTACGTGTTTATCAAATGCAAATCTTGTCAGTCACCAGTGGCCAGGCTGTAAAGTGA